TTGATCCCTCAATGGGCCTTGCGAATGCTTGTACCCATCCACACCACAACCTTCTTAGCAAGCCCCGGGTAATTTTGTGGCTTGGGCCCACTTAAGCTTGTGGCATGGCTTGGTATTAGAATAGTGGTCATTTGCATGGCATTTATTTATCATGCTTGTGCTTGAGTTTTTATTATGCCGTAATAGGCTATAATTAGGCCAAGTAACACTGGATAGGTAGATGAGCGTGATTTTGTAAAGTTGGTATGTTCTTGGCCCTTTTGCATGTGCCTGTTTGGCATGACACGTGGCCCGTGGCTTGCATTGTTGTGTCCTATATATTCTCTTTTGTCCCGATCGGGTTCCCCTTGTGTTCAATTATCCCTGTTGGGCCGATAATAGATCTGGGCCTAGCCCCTTGGATTTTGGGCCTCAACAGCTTTTAAAAGCCAATGTGAAGTGTGGGATGGGCTACCAATTTTGAAACTTATTAGCTTCTTTGAGAAGCCGGTGCAGCATTTATGCGTGCGGGGAACACTCAGTGGATTGATCCATCAAAGAAGACAAAATAATGGTGTCATTCGGATAGACTTGGGCAATTGAACCGGCGACAAGTCTTTCAGTCATTTGCCAAGTTGGTCCCGTCAGCCTCGTTTGTTACGGAAGATTGTCTTGGCATGAACTATTCTCAGAAATTGTCTTGGCTTGAATTGGCTTAAGTTGAATAACACTTAACTGATGTTTGGTGATGCTTGGATTGAGACTAAATTTAAATTGATTAAAATATCAATAAATAGGATGATATATTTCAACTTCTGTTCTTCTGTACAAGCGTGGGTTAAAAATATTCCAAATTTTTATTTAATAAGGTTTATTTTTTAGGTTTATACGGGTTTTAAATTTGAGGGCATTTGTGTCTATTTAAATGAGTTTTTTGCTATATTTGAAATATTTTACAAAAACTGACATTTGTGAAATTAAAGATCAAGTTTTGGCTATTTTTGATAAATTCTCCACATGGCTAGGTTGTTGAAAAAGAATAAATAAAATAAAATAAAACAAATGAGAGACCCACCGAAAAAGAAATAGGAGTTGGGTAGCGAAAAGTAGTGGAGAGTGAATAAAGAGACATAGCATGGGAAAAATAGAGAAATACAAGGGTGCCAGGAGCACATGAGACGGAAGGTAAGGTAAAGACAAAACATGACCATAAAGAAAAAGGAAGAAAGAAAAATTGTGCCTGACAAGAAAGTTGTGTCTGATAAGAAAATTGAAGGAAAACTTTGAAAAGAGTGCTCAGGTGAGCAAGGAGAGAAACAGAAAAGGGTTTTCATTTCGTGGGGTTCACATGTGGGTTTTCGTGGGTGATGAGCTTGATAAGAAAATTGAAGGAAAACTTTGAAAAGAGTGCTCAAGTGAGCAAGGAGAGAAACAGAAAAGGGTTTTCGTTTCGTGGGGTTCACATGTGGGTTTTCGTGGGTGATGAGCTTGAGAAGGGGACTGAGTTTGAGGAAGAAATGGAGAGATATTTGAGATGGAGAGAGAGATGGATGTGGAGAGTAAATATAAAAAATGGTAAAAGAGACCAAGTTCCCTCAATTCCCTATATTCCAGTATCGATTCGATTATTTGGATGACAGAGAAGTTCGAGATCACAGAGCGAGTGAGACTTTGTTTTGATCACAAAGGAAAGGACTAAGGAGGGACAAGAGGACTGAGAGGACTGTGCTTTGCCAATTTATAGTTCTTCTTTGCACAACACAATCCCTCTGTTCAGATTAAATTCACCAAATTTTAACAAGAAAGGAAAACAAAACAAAAATATTGCTGAGAATGAATAACAATCTAAGGGCCTGTTTGATAGTTTCAATTTTAGTTTTTAGTTTTCATTTTTTGTGCTATATTATAGAGGAAAATGAGAGTGAGAATGAGATTGAGGATGAGAGGAAAGGATGAGAGAGATAAGTAACAAAAGTGAAAACAATTTGAAATAGATTTCAGTTTGTGGTTTTTGTTTTCACTTTTGTTACTCCTCCCTCCATCCTCTCCTCTCATCTTCCCTCTCAATTTCATCTCCACTTTCATTTTCACTTCCATTCTCCCTATTTTTTTCTTCTATACTGTAGCACAAAAAATGAAAAGAAATATATGCATTAATATATGAATTCGTCTTTAAGTTATGTTGTTGAAATTTTTATTTTTTTTTTTGTTTTTTTTTTTTTTTTTTTGGCTCCGTCCCTGGTGTGGATTGCCCCATATCCACCAATTGCTCATCCATGGTGTGTTCAGAACTGTGGGATAAGGTGGGGAATTTAAAATTTGCCTTTTAATTAGTTGCATGAATTCTCTAGAATGAGATAAAAATAAGAACATGGACTTCATATATAGCCCTTAGTTTCATTGATATTTTTGTCATAATTTTATAGATTAGTTACCAAACTGAAATGCTTTAGAGGCATTGACCCAAGATCAAGATTCGTGGACCAGATAGTCAAAATATAATGTGGAGGGAAGAAAACGATAAACAGAAAGCGCCTAAATCTTCTGCTGAATTTGCTGTGTAATAGTTCAGCGCAATTAGTGGCATATATGCATGGAGTTATTATTTGTTTTGTTGTATACATGCACACAAGGAGAAATGGGCAGGCACCACGTAGACAATGTTGTCAGATCATCAACGGCACACAAGGAGGGGTTGTTGATATTAGAGAATGCAATTGGTTTGAGAGTGTAACTCCTCAATTAGAAGGTAAAACATGTCATAACTAAGAAATTTCTTTGTTTTAATATGAACCCTCTATTGTAGTAACAAAATTTAGGAAATATTTCTGATCGCCATTTTAACTCAAGGTATACCATCACCATTCTTCAGTATAATCTCTTCGGAATTTCTTTTTCTTGATCAATATTTTGGGGAATTATCAAAAGAGTCAAGATTGATAAATTAACATAAAAATGTACATATGAAAAGAGTCAAAATGAGAGACCCACCGAAAAAGAAATAGGAGTTGGGTACCGAAAAGTAGTGGAGAGTGAATGAGAGACAGCGTGGGAAAAATAGAGAAATAGAAGGGTGCCAGGAGCACATGAGACGGAAGGTAAGGTAAAGACAAAACATGACCGTAAAGAAAAAGGAAGAAAGAAAAATTGTGCCTGACAAGAAAGTTGTGTCTGATAAGAAAATTGAAGGAAAACTTTGAAAAGAGTGCTCAAGTGAGCAAAGAGAGAAACAGAAAAGGGTTTTCGTTTCGTGGGGTTCACATGTGGGTTTTCATGGGTGACGAGCTTGAGAAGGGGACTGAGTTTGAGGAAGAAATGGAGAGATATTTGAGATGAAGGCAATGGCGGTTCCAGGATTAGAAAGCCGACCGGGCAAAACTTATATAACAAATTTGACGAAACAAGTGAATTTCATTAATAAATATATAAAAAATTACATAGTGAGAGGAGACATAATAAGCCTTACCCTCAAATGCATTTATATCTACAAATACAAAACTAAAATAAAAAGCCAGATGGGTGCCTTCACCTCTGTAATAACCTTTATCTCGAAAGAGATTATTAAGGCAAGGCTCTTTCTCATTGACCATTAATTCTGTAAAAAAGGAGCATAGCGGCGGGCCCACTCTTTTTCACCTTAAGAAAATTTACTTATAGGCTGTGTTTCTGGGCCCTATGATGGACCTTTAGAATAAATAGGGAAGGGCTTTGAATTAAGCCCGATGTGTGAGACTTAGGATCCAATACGACTTGAGCCCATAAGGATTATGACTAGACCCAAGTTATAGCAATTGTGTGCAATTCTAAGCCATTCTGAGAGTCATTGGACCCCACGGAGCGATTTATGGATTCAACCCATCCCATCTTTTCTGGGCCTTGAATTAAGCCCAATCTGTGGTTTTGTCATATAATAAGATCCAATTTGTTTGGACTCGTTAGGTTTGGCCTATTACCTTGAGTGAGGCCTAACATGTACACCTCTTGTCATGAGGATGTGATCTTATCCACCGATGGGTCTTATATTCTAAGCCCAATCCTCTCGTCTTAGGGTAGGATATCCATATACCTTAAATCGCCGGAACTTCTCCTTTTTGGTTGACAACCTATGTTGGGCTAGCACATGAACACTCTCTCGGTACTTAAGGAGTAATTCCAAATAACACGACTCCAATCCCATAATACCGACGTCTAAAAGACGAGATATCTAACCTGAACGTTACAAAAGACGACGTCGTCTTAACTTTACCACGTCGCATGTTATTTCATAAACGAAGTGGAAAAGGATGAATTCACAATGGTATTTTAAATCCATTGGTAAATTTGTCGACGTTAAGATATATTTGGACGTCGTTCCTTTACAAAAACGACGTTATATGAATGTATCCACGTCTCTTTTCTTATGATAATGTCGTTTAAATTTCTTTACCCCGGGAAATATCGGATTAACAACGCCGTCTAATAACATACAAGAATAAGTTCTCAATAAAACAGAAAAGTAAATCACATTCATACTTTACGAAACCATAACTGGGAGTAATCAATTCATATAAAACATATGTCCATGGCTTCGAATTCACCTCTAACTAAGAAGAAATTCAGTCACACATGCTCATAATAATTGAAAAGCAATCTAGAATAAACATTTAAACTAATCAAGGGAAGAACTCTGAAAAACCCCAATGGATGCAGCAGGTTCCGGCTCCAAGTTCTTCTTCTCTCTTTCTCCTTCTCGCTACGGCACCCAAAAACTCCCTTCTCCTGCGGCAACCCCTCCTTTATATATGTGGTAATCTAGGGTAAAAGGGCCCAGCAGAAACCCAGAAATTAGGGTTTTGTTTGGCAGATTTCTTTAGGAACAAGGATAGGGCCCCAGGCGCCACCTTTCTAGGAAAGAGGTGTGCCCCATGCTTTCTTCTAGAACCAGGGTTTTTAGGTTTCCTAATCTGAAATTAATCCCCCCCTTTTCTTGCTGGAATTTAGGTAGAATAGGATTAGGATAAGGTAAAATAAAATAAAATCAGTTAGGGTTTTTCTTCCCAGAAGCTGATTCTTGAATTAATTTCCCCATCCTTTAGCACATTCCTAGCCTCTTTGAACTTCAAAAACGTCCATCCCATCTTGCCCCATGCGTATGCTATCCATTCCAAGTCCAAAACTGCTCTAAAATACTCCAAAATGCCCTTTCTTGCCAATCTTGCCATTTGGACCTACAATAATACGAAAATAAGTTAAATCTCTCTAATAAATGGGAATTAACTAAGTAAATTCAAAGAAATAAGATAGCAAGGTCGCATAAATATGCTCCTAATCAACAAAAAAAAAAAAAAAAAAAAAAAAAAAAAAAAAAAAAAAAAAAAAAAAAAAAAAAAAAAAAAAAAAAAAAAAAAAAAAAAAAAAAAAAAAAAAAAAAAAAAAAAAAAAAAAAAAAAAAAAAAAAAAAAAAAAAAAAAAAAAAAAAAAAAAAAAAAAAAAAAAAAAAAAAAAAAAAAAAAAAAAAAAAAAAAAAAAAAAAAAAAAAAAAAAAAAAAAAAAAAAAAAAAAAAAAAAAAAAAAAAAAAAAAAAAAAAAAAAAAAAAAAAAAAAAAAAAAAAAAAAAAAAAAAAAAAAAAAAAAAAAAAAAAAAAAAAAAAAAAAAAAAAAAAAAAAAAAAAAAAAAAAAAAAAAAAAAAAAAAAAAAAAAAAAAAAAAAAAAAAAAAAAAAATTGAAATTTTTACTCTTTACTTTGTTTGTTTGAGATGCCCCTGTTTTTTTTTTTTTTTTTTTTTTTTTTTTTTGGTTTCTCGTCCCTGGTGTGGATTGTCCCATATCCACCAATTGCTCATCCATGGTGTGTTCAGAACTGTGGGATAAGGTGGGGAATTTAAAATTTGCCTTTTAATTAGTTGCATGAATTCTCTAGAATGAGATAAAAATAAGAACATGGACTTCATATATAGCCCTTAGTTTCATTGATATTTTTGTCATAATTTTATAGATTAGTTACCAAACTGAAATGCTTTAGAGGCATTGACCCAAGATCAAGATTCGTGGACCAGATAGTCAAAATATAATGTGGAGGGAAGAAAACGATAAACAGAAAGCGCCTAAATCTTCTGCTGAATTTGCTGTGTAATAGTTCAGCGCAATTAGTGGCATATATGCATGGAGTTATTATTTGTTTTGTTGTATACATGCACACAAGGAGAAATGGGCAGGCACCACGTAGACAATGTTGTCAGATCATCAACGGCACACAAGGAGGGGTTGTTGATATTAGAGAATGCAATTGGTTTGAGAGTGTAACTCCTTAATTAGAAGGTAAAACATGTCATAACTAAGAAATTTCTTTGTTTTAATATGAACCCTCTATTGTAGTAATAAAATTTAGGAAATAAAACAAACACACACTTGATTTCAGATTTGCTTTGTATTTACGAAAGGATGGAGCCTCATGGTAGGCTGATTTTGTTTACCTTCCTTCATGGATTCCTTCTTTTATGCATGAACACGCCTCTGGAATCTGCAACTCTACCTAGTTGTAATACTTTTGGAAATGAAACTGATCGTCTGGCGCTGCTGGACTTGAAGAAAAGAATCACTCAAGATCCTCTCCATGTCATGAGCTCATGGAATGATTCCCTTCATTTCTGCAATTGGGTTGGCGTTACATGCAACCGTTGCACCAAAAGAGTTGTGATTTTGAAGCTGACTGCTCAAAAATTGGCAGGCTCCTTACCAAAATCTATAGGAAATCTTTCTCACCTTACCAAAATCGACCTGATGAACAACAGCTTTGCTGGTAAAAATCTTAAATCAATAAATATTATCCCTATTTTTTTGTGAAATTCCCTAGAATGGCCAACTGATCTGTTTCTTAATACTCAAACACCACGACAGGATTGAAATACTGTAACAATCCTGTAAGCAAAAATTCCAGAATACGCAGCAGAATAAATTCAAATAAAAACGCAAACAATTGCACAAGGGACACACGATATGTTGACGCAGTAAAAAACCTCAAGATGAGGAAAACAATTGCGGGCACTATGCCGGAGAACAAATCACTATGAGAAAGAATACAAAAAGGTCTTACAAGTCTCAACTCACAAGACTAACGCTCACAAGGCAGACTTGCCTACTCGCCTTTGCTACTCAACCCAACCAGCGATCTTGTCTTCCTTCGTCAACAAGAGATGGCACAACTCTAGTCTCGGCTGCTCACACCTCAAGGCACGATTGTTGATCACCAACATGCATAATGCTCATGAACTCACACATATATGAAAAGATGATTATTTAATCACTCATGGAGGCTAACAAGGAACAGCCACATGAGTTTTCAATATGAACTTTCAAAAACCTCTCTGCAAATATTTTGTCGTTCTTCTTCTTTTTCAATGTTGCAGACACCCCAACAAAAAGGCTAAGTTCCTTTCTTTTATTACACGCTTAAAACTAGGTCAGAGACCAAAAAAGGCTTTTAGCAAAAATGGGCTTTTTAACAAATAAAATATTTCTTTAAAACAAATAAAGCCACTTAATTAAAAACCTAGCCGTAAAGACAAAAGAGCCCTTTTGCTAAAGAATATAAAACCATCGTTAAAAACTCATTGATGTCTGGCACTGGATTATATAAGACTGAAATCATATATCAGTCATGTACATCTTACAGCCACTTTTGATGATCAAGCAAATATGAAAATATGAATGCATGGATGCAAAACATACCTTGGGATTGTCTCTGAGCCACACTGATCCAGGATAGCAGAATGTCACTTGAAAACTGTAGGTTACACTCAAAGACCTACTCTATGTTTTTGTAACAGGAAATTGCCAATATACCAAAAATTGGTCCTAACAATCTCCCCCTTTGGCATTTCCTATACAAAAACTCTAGTTACAAAAATTGGTCCTAACAATCTCCCCCTAAACCAAGTACAAGTGAGTGAAAAGAATTCCTCAAACATAACCACTTGCAATAGAAAAGGTAACCTGAATTCTGCACCACTAAACCAAAAAATAACCAGTGAAAAGCATGTATGGTTGAAAAGACAATATGTCAAAATAAAACTCAGAATGTTTACTCCCCCTTTTTTGGATAGGTAATGGCAAACTCCCCCTCAAAGAAATAACCACTTGCACATCAAACAACCACTCCCAGGAAGAACAATGTAGGCAAAATTCCAAATTATGAAATCTCCCATGAATGTATGAAAAGATACATGTAATGACGAAGGAGCAAGAAGGCACACAAGATGAAAATTTTTATTTTTATTTTTATTTTTTATTTTTTATCAAACCAGTGTCACAAACGAGATTTCTAAGCAAAGCTTGTAAGGAGATATCAAGTCAAAATTGAAGAGTAACAATGAGAACCCACAGCATCAAGTGTTGTGAAATATCTCTCCATGTTAGGCAACACCATATAATCAAGGTTAGCAAAAATTCACAAGGGTCCTTGGTGTGAAAAGTGAACCAATAGAGAGATAGGAATGACAATGCATACAAATGGTATTCAACAGATTCACAATTGTGCTGTATATATATTTTTTCTTTATGGAGCACGGTCCACAACTTTATTAAGCTTTCTAGTGACTTGTAACAAGTCTTAGGCCAGATGCTCCCAAGCCAGAGGACTTTAGGGCACTAAGTATATCAAGGATACTCCATGGGCTTAGCAACTCGAAGGCTTCAAAAGGCTTCAAAGTTTTTTTTTTATAAATATGGACCAAGCCATCCCGTATTCGACGCGACCCTCGACACTGGTTAGGTAAGAGGTCCGGCTACTTTGGGAGAACCTGAGTCAAGCTCCAAAGATATCTATCATTGTCGTTTAAAGTGAAATCTTGCAACAAAGGCATTCATAACTCATATTGGTGTGCGTGTGCAAGAACCAAGGAAATGCTGTGAAAATGCCAAGCAAAGATTAATGCCAGAGACTAACATAAAAAAATATTTGCCAACTAAGAGCATGTGTCTCACAGTTAGTCCCATACTCAGACTAGAAAACCCAATCTTAGTTCAAAGAAATTCAAGCTTATGACAATGGGATTGAAAATGCAATGCAATGATATACTACAAGGCTACAAAAAATAAAACTGAAGGAAAAAAAATAATAATAACAGAAACTAAGAAACCTATTCGACATGGGCATACAACAATGAAATGTGAATGCAAAAAAAAATTAGAGGGAGTTCATTCAATGGAACAAATACCAAGAGACTTCCTGAGAGCTTCAAAACGAATAGTGTCTAATGGTTTTGTAAACAAATCAGCCAATTGTTTTTCTGTGCAAACAAACTCAAGACTCACCACCTTTTCTTCAACCAATTCACGAATAAAATGATGCCTAATATCTATGTGTTTTGTTCGTGAGTGTTGAACCGGATTTTTGGAAATATTTATTGCACTCAGATTATCACAAAAAAGAGTTGAAGTACCTTGATGAATGCCGTAATCACTCATCATTTGCTTCATCCATAGTAGTTGTGTGCAACAACTTCCAGCAGCAATGTATTCCGCTTCGGCTGTAGACAAGGAAACACAAGCTTGCTTTTTGCTATGCCAAGACACAAGATTATTACCTACATAAAAGCACCCTCCAGATGTGCTCTTCCTATCATCAACGTTTCCAGCCCAATCGGCATCGGTGTAACCTGCAATTTCAGAATTTGAGTCAAATGAATAATATACACCTAAAGTTGGAGTACCACTTACATATCTGATGATTCTCTTGACTGCATTCAAGTGAGACTCCTTTGGATTTGCCTGAAAGCGAGCGCATACACCAACACTGAATGAGATGTCGGGTCGACTGGCTGTTAAATATAAGAGGCTTCCAATCATGCTTCTGTAAAGTGTTTGTTCTACACATTTTCCAGAAGGGTCAGCATCAATTTTGTTGTGTGTAGCCATGGGATTCCTTGTTGGTTTGGCAGAACTCATACCAAACTTTTTTACCAAGTCTTTTGCATACTTGGTTTGAGAAATGAAGATACCATGATCTTGTTGCTTGACTTGCAGGCCTAGGAAATAGCTCAGCTCCCCACACATACTCATCTCAAATTCGCTGCTCATAACTTCAGTAAATTCTTTTACAAGAAATTCAGATGTAGACCCAAAAACAATATCGTCGACATAAACCTGAGCAACAATCAATTCCTTGTTGGTCTTTTTGACAAACAGAGTTTTGTCAACAGCTCCTCTGACATACCCTTTATTCAGCAAATGGGATGACAACCGATCATACCAAGCCCTAGGAGCTTGCTTCAGCCCATAGAGAGCTTTTCTAAGACGATATACATGATCAGGATTGTAAGGATCTTTGAATCCTACAGGTTGTTCTACATATACCTCCTCCTGTAAAACCCCATTTAGGAACGCACTTTTCACATCCATCTGGTGTAGTTTGAACCTCATATGACAAGCTATAGCTAAAAGCAATCTAACAGATTCAAGCCTTGCCACGGGAGCGAAAGTTTCATCAAAATCCAACCCTTCAACTTGGGAATATCCCTGTGCAACCAACCTTGCTTTATTTCTTGTAATAACACCATTTTCATCAGTTTTGTTCCTGAAAACCCATTTTGTACCTATCACATTCAAGTCCTTGGGACGTGGAACCAAGTACCACACATCATTTCTAGTGAACTGGTCTAACTCCTCTTGCATAGCCATGATCCAATCACAATCAAGAAGTGCTTCTTTTGAATTTTTTGGTTCCAATTTGGAAACATAGCACAGATGAGTTACCTCCGCAACGACTTGGCTTCTTGTCTTTCTTTGATCATTTAAATCTCCAATAATATCAGATGGTGTGTGGTCTTTTTGGACTTGCCGAGCACCAGGTCTAAGAGGAGGTGAAAACATATCTTCTTCTGCATGCACTTCATCATTAATGTTAGCCACCTTGTCCTTTTCTTCTTGCCTAGGAGCTGCTGGAATAATATCTTCATCATCATCTGCACAAGAACCAAATGACATATCAGTATCATTGACAACAACATTAATTGATTCCATTACCGTACATGTCCTCTTGTTAAACACCCTATAAGCCCTGCTAGTGAGAGAATAACCCAAAAAGATGCCAGCATCACTTCTTGTATCAAACTTTGCTAGGTTTTCTCTATCTCTATAAATATAGCAGACGCTCCCAAAAACCCTCATGTGCTTTATGTTAGGTTTTCTCCCTTTCCAAAGCTCATAAGGAGTTGAAGTTGTGCCCGGTCTAAGATATACACGATTTGCTGTATAACATGCTGTGCTAATAGCTTCTGCCCAAAATTTCTTCGCTATCTTAGCACTTGTCAAGATCACACGTCCCATTTCAAGCAAGGTGCGATTCTTCCTCTCAACCACCCCATTATGTTGAGGTGTAATAGGTGCTGAAAATTCGTGCTTTATTCCTTTCTCTTCACAATATTCAGCAAAGCTTACATTTTCAAACTCTGTTCCATGGTCTGTTCGAAGTCTCATGACAGTAACATGTGAAGCATTTTTCTCGATCTGAATTTTGTTGCATAGGCCACGAAAACTCTTGAATGCATCAGATTTTTCACGAAGAAAATCAACCCAAGTAAACCGAGTAAAGTCATCCACCAACACCAACATATACTTCTTTCCACCTATGCTCTCAGTCTGAATGGGACCAACTAAATCCATATGCAGCAAATCTAATGGTTGGGATGTTGATATGTAGGATATGCTTTTGTGAGCACTCTTGACTTGCTTACCTAATTGGCACGCACCACACACTCCTGCAGACTTACCACTCAGCTTTGGCAGACCTCTGACACACTCATTCTTGGACAGCTTCAAGAGATCACGAAAGTTGATATGACCAAGTCTTCTATGCCACAGTTCCATCACGTCATCAGTAGCGCGATTGCACACAAGACTTTTGTTCTCATTCACCTGAATACAATAGCAATTATCTTTGGATCTCATGCCACTCATAACCTTCTTCCCTTGAAAATCAGCAACATAACATTGATCTTTATCAAACCACACGCTGCTACCATCATCACAAAGTTGACTGATGCTTATCAAATTTGCCTGCAAATTTTCCACCAACATGACATTTTTCAAGAATGGTAAGCCAAGTGTCTCAACATCTCCTTTCCCTAAAATTTTACCTTTACTTCCATCTCCAAATGTCACAGAGCCTTCCACACATTCTGTATTCAGATTTGTAAACCAACATTTATCACCAGACATATGTCTTGAACAACCACTATCGAAATACCATGTATCAGATTTTCTAGCAGATAAGGCCATTAAAGTCACCAAGCACTTTTCCTCCTTTTTTTTCCACACTAGTTTGGTTCTTTGAGATGGATTAAAATTTCTTGGAGAATAGTAGTAAGCTGACCTCTTCTCCTTTCTAAGCACATTGCATCTAGGCCGTATATGACCAAAAACTCCACAAAAATGACAGATCGGTATAAATTTCTTTGGGCTAACAATCGCTTCAGTAGAAGAGAATTCTTTGATGAATTTCACAGCTTTGACCTCTTGCTTAGACTTTTCACTTTCAAAACCCAAACCTCTCGTATCACCAGCCCTTTTTCCCAGACTTAACATCCTTTCAATCTTCTCTGCACCAATGGTCATACCAAATATTTTTTCCGTTGCTAATTTTAATTCAGCACTAGCATGGTCCCTTTCGAAAGTAAGAGAAACATTCATATCTTTCTGCAGCTGGTACTTGTCTTGGAGCATCTGAATTTTTTCAAGCAAAGACCCACGCAGATTTTCTTCTGTTTTCAGCTGGGATTGAAAGGCAGCTTCAGTCCTGGTCAGTTCGTCTTGTAGAAAAGCCACTTGATCAACAAGCTCTGCATTTTTCTTCTTCAGTTTTTCAGAGGAATCATAGAGACTGTTGAATTGCTTCATCACCACTTCTATCTCAGGTTCTTCAACATCAGAGTTCTCATCCTTTTGCGCATGAATTCTCCCAGAGAAAGCAACAACTTGATCTTCATTTTCTGAATTTGAATCATTATCAGATTCACTATCACTCCAAGTTGCTGCCATTACTTTATTTTTCCCACTATTTTGCTTCCTCAAATTATTTGCGCATTCAGAGGCAAAGTGTCCATATCCACCACATTCAAAGCATTTCAGTGAATCTTTAGAGCCCTTTCTCTCCATAGTTCTGGTTGTATGTGATAACTTGTCAGAAGTAAACTCACGTGGGCAACTCCCTCTTGTACTTGAACCTGAATTTCCTCTTTGTTCACCAGACCTTGAATTCTTAGATTTCAAAAACTTACGAAATTGTTTTGTAAGCAAAGCATAATCCATTTTGTCTTCTGACACACTGTCACTCCCATCTTCTTTCACTGTATTTAGAGCAATGCCCTTGCTTTTCTTTATTTCTGGAAATTCCATCTCATAGGTGGTAAGAGAACCAATTAACTCAGTAAGTTTATAAGTGTTCAAATTCTTACACTCTTCAATCGCTGTCTTCTTGGCGTGATACATCATAGGCAGAGATCTCAAAATCTTTTTCACTATTCTGTGTTCAGGAATTGCATCACCAAGGTTGCTGCAAGCATTCACCACCACACTCAATCTAGCGTAAAATTCAGCAAATTTTTCAGTTTCCAGCATCTTCAAATTTTCAAACTTAGTCATCAGTTGTTGAAGTTTGGATTCTCTGACAGTGGCATTTCCTTCATGAGTAATTTCCAGAATATCCCAAGCCTCCTTTGAGGTTTTGCAATGACATATAAACTCAAATTTTTCAGCTGATACCGCAGTGAAGATGGAATTAAGACCTTTTTGATTGTAGGCACTCATATCGTTTTCTTCATCAGTCCACTCTGTATTTTGCTTAATTACAACCTTTGTTGTCGACTGGCCTTCACCTTCAACCTCTTTTCCACGCCCTTTAATTTCCTTTGTTGGAGGTTCCCAACCATTCTCAATAGTTGTCCACACCTTTGTACCTTGAGCCCACAGAAAAGATTTCATCTTAGCTTTCCAAGCCCCATAGTTAGTATTCTCATCAAGAAACGGAGGATGAGTCACAGACCCACATGCACGATCCATTCTAGCACAGCCCAACGATCTCACTAAGCACGTCTAGTGACCCGCTCTGATGCCAAATGAAATTCCCTAGAATGGCCAACTGATCTGTTTCTTAATACTCAAACACCACGACAGGATTGAAATACTGTAACAATCCTGTAAGCAAAAATTCCAGAATACGCAGCAGAATAAATTCAAATAAAAACGCAAACAATTGCACAAGGGACACACGATATGTTGACGCAGTAAAAAACCTCAAGATGAGGAAAACAACTGCGGGCACTATGCCGGAGAACAAATCACTATGAGAAAGAATACAAAAAGGTCTTACAAGTCTCAACTCACAAGACTAACGCTCACAAGGCAGACTTGCCTACTCGCCTTTGCTACTCAACCCAACCAGCGATCTTGTCTTCCTTCGTCAACAAGAGATGGCACAACTCTAGTCTCGGCTGCTCACACCTCAAGGCCCGATTGTTGATCACCAACATGCATAATGCTCATGAACTCACACATATATGAAAAGATGATTATTTAATCACTCATGGAGGCTAACAAGGAACAGCCACATGAGTTTTCAATATGAACTTTCAAAAACCTCTCTGCAAATATTTTGTCGTTCTTCTTCTTTTTCAATGTTGCAGACACCCCAACAAAAAGGCTAAGTTCCTTTCTTTTATTACACGCTTAAAACTAGGTCAGAGACCAAAAAAGGCTTTTAGCAAAAATGGGCTTTTTAACAAATAAAATATTTCTTTAAAACAAATAAAGCCACTTAATTAAAAACCCAGCCGTAAAGACAAAAGAGCCCTTTTGCTAAAGAATATAAAACCATCGTTAAAAACTCATTGATGTCTGGCACTGGATTATATAAGACTGAAATCATATATCAGTCATGTACATCTTACAGCCACTTTTGATGATCAAGCAAATATGAAAATATGAATGCATGGATGCAAAACATACCTTGGCATTGTCTCTGAGCCACACTGATCCAGGATAGCAGAATGTCACTTGAAAACTGTAGGTTACACTCAAAGACCTACTCTATGTTTTTGTAACAGGAAATTGCCAATATACCAAAAATTGGTCCTAACATTTTGTCTACACATCAATTTGGTCGACACGATAGTGTGCCATAACATGACTGACTTTTACGAATATTTTGACAAAATGCGATGAGAGAGACCAAACAGATGCATAGTTTTGCACCCAAAAAAAAACTTGTTTTGTTTTGTTATATTAATTTGAATTTTAAATTTTTAATAGCTAAAATTACTAAAATGCACATATTACATCAGCTCAATTAACGATTTTATAGATAAATATTTATGGAAGTGGTTAAGTGAGAAAATTTCATCAAATTTTAGAGATTCTGAGGGTTAAGTGAGAAAATTTTAACTTCATAGAGTAAAATGGGACCGAGCGCTCGTTTAATGATGAGATAAGACTTTTAGGGGGTAAAATAGTAATTAAGCCTTTTGATGATGAGATAAGACTTCTTCTACTCCATTATTCGCACTTTTAGAATATTTTGAACTTTTTTATCACCCACTAAAATTTTCCAACAATTGCCAACGAAGTTCGTTTGTTTTCCTCTGTTTTTATGCACAAATCAAAATTGTTTTAGTCTACAATTTTTCCAACACTAACATAATGAAGCTTTTTATTTTATTTTTCTTTGGACTAAGATTTCTCTCTTCCATGCACACTTTCAAACTTGTTTGAGTTTTTTACTCCTCCACTAAAATTTTCCACCAATAACACACCACACCTTTGTCTTTTAAAAAAGATGTGTGTGATAAGATTTGGTCTTCAATTTCCTGCAACACTACACTTGGTCCTTCTTTTGAATTCCGGTAAACGAAACTTGAATTCTTATTTTGACAGAAAGAGCAAAGAAAAAGAAAAAAGAAAAATAGAGACAATTTACAGACATGTCATAACTAAGAAATTTCTTTGTTTTAATATGAACCCAAGGTATACCATCACCATTCTTCAGTATAATCTCTTCGAAATTTTGTTACTCCTCCCTCTCATCCTCTCCTCATCTTCCCTCTCAATCCTATCTCCACTTTCATTTTCACTTTTATTTTCCCTCTTTTTTTATTCTATACTGTAGCACAAAAAATGAAAAACTAAAAACTAAAATTGAAATGGTCTGGAGGCCATAATTTCCCTTACAAGCAATTTGGAAAAACATTAAGAAGATTTAATCCTGCTTGGTTTGATGATTTTTCTACTTGGTTGGAATGTAGTATAGAAACAGATTCTGCTATTTGTCTTACCTTTTTAAACCAAACATTGGAGAACAAGCAGGTAGTGATTATTTTGTGGGTGAAGGTTTTTCTAATTGTAACGTATTTCAAGATTGTAATGTATTTCATGGAAGACATTATGGATTAATATATGAACTTTGTCTTTAAGTATGTTGTTTGTTTACACCATAATTAACCAAGCGTGATTGAACACCAAGGTAGACATGTCTTCCTCCCTGCCAAAGGGAGATGCTATTCCGAAGGGACAACCACCTGCCGAAGCTCCGAACTGCCAAACCTAAAACACAGGAGACACGTGTCATCATCACAGCAACTTGCACAAAGTCCCACTATCGGAACTTTGTGCAAACCTCCTACTTTTACTTCCTTATAAATAGGGAACAGTAACCAAGAAAAAGGGTAACTTCTCTTCCACTATTACTGTTACTTTGCGATAGTCACTACCCCTAGCTGACTCAGGCATCGGAGAGCCTTCGGCCGGCACCACACCGGTGTCCGAAGCTTAACGACTGCTTCTTCTATTTTTGTCTCCTGCAGGCTAGCCTTTTACTGAAGGCCCAGACCCTTCTCTTGCTAAAGGCAAACCCCTATCTCTAAGTTGACCCTCTCCGAAAAAGAGCATCAACAGTTTGGCGCCGTCTGTGGGAAACGAACCCACGACCACACGGTACCGAAGCGGTGGCACCAGTGGAGATTGGCCAGCCAACATACCGAACCTCCACTTACGAGGCCGAGGCTAATAATGAGCAGCTGGCCCTCAACCTCGACTTCATCGACGAGCTTTGTGACCAGTCCAACATGCGCAACGTCACATACAAGCATCGTATTGCCAAGTACTACAACTCCAGAGTTAAACCTTGAGCTTTCACAACTGGGGACTGGGTCATGCGCAAGGTTTCCTTAGCCACTAAGAATCCTAATGAGGGTACCTTGGGCCCTACGTGGGAAGGTCCATATGAGATCACCAAGGTTTGCCGCCCCGGGACTTATCAGCTTCGGGACCACAAGGGCAAAACGTTGCCTCACCCTTGGAACGCTGACCATCTCAAGAGCTACTACAAGTAAACATACCTAGACCCTAGGACATTGTGTTTTCTTATACTTCGGTCTTGAGCCTCGACTCAAACCCACCATTGTATTGTTTGCCCTTCGGCACCCATCTAATAGAAGCACCCAACTGGGCCCCATTTCTACTTCAGAACTTGGCAGAATGCTTAAGGTAAAAAGGTACCAAGCTATCATAAAAATCAAAGTAACCCTGCCTTAGGGCAGGGAAATATCCATACATATCAAAAAACTACGTCCGAAATAACTGGGTACATCATAGCAAAAATACAAACAAGCCCTCAGGCATCAGCATGGTCGTCCACCTCCTCCTGGGCAGCTGTGTCCGGATCCACGGTCGACTCCCCTCCGCTAGCATCGGCACCTCCCCGCGTCTCAGCCTCCGAAGGACTCGTGGCCTCGGCAGACGGTGTGGCCGCAAACAGTGACTCCCGACCAGAAGGAATGGGAGGGGGAACACCACTAGTGTCGAAGTTTATATCCAACCCTGGATTAAACCTCGCAACCAATTTCTCCCACCCATACTGCTCCTCGACCATCGCGTCCAGCACGAGGCTCTTGAACCTGTCTGAGCCCTGATACTCCTCCACAGCCTCGGCACGAGCCACGCTCAGCTCCTCGGTCCTCCTCCTCTCAGACTCGAGCCTAGCCTCCTCCACCGCCTCCAGCCGCCGGGTCGTCTCCTTCAGCTCCCGCTCCAACCTCCCCACCTTCAGCTGTAGCACATTCTTCTCCCGGATGGCAGCCTGAGCCTCGGCGGTAGTAGCCTTGGCTGTCTCGGAATGGCGTCTAGCCAAGTCCACCTCTCTCTCTGCCCTGGCTAGGGTAAGGTACATATCCCCAAAAGCCTGCAAGAAAGGTATGTTCATAAGCATATCATAATTGCACTATTAGAGAGTCAAAGGCACAGGACTACTTACATTGGCAGCAGAGAGTACCGTCTTCTGGACCCAATCGGAGAAGTCCGTGGCCTTGGTCCGAGCGAGCTCCCAAGCATCAATCTTTACCCCAATCAGGAAGGCGTTGACAAGAGGCACTTCCTGGCGATGCATGGCCAAGGTTACCTCCTTCGCCTCCCGTGGAACCGAGGCAAAGTCTATATCCTCGGTACCTGCAGGGAATAGCTCCTCCATCTCGAGCGACAGCCTGGGTGGTGGATCTAGGTCAAACGGCGGCAACACTGTCCCACCCATGACGTCATGGATCGAAGACTCGAGTCCCCTCCGCTTCTTCTCCAGCTCCGCCAACTGCTCATCCTCCTCCGTCCGAGGCCGCTTCCCAGCAGCCCGGGCTGCTGTCCCCTCAGCAGTACTGGGCGCCCCCTTCGTCTGCTTCTTGGCCCTATTGGCCCTATCTTTCTCTCTTCTCTCTTGCAACTTTCGTTGCCTCTCCTCCGGATCCACCACTACCTTCGGTGACGTCTCAACCACGGTCACCACCTTCTTCGGTACCTCAGCCACTGAAAAACAACACCGAAGCAAAGGTGAGAAGATATACAACAACATACATATAAAAAGGAGGGAGTGGGCCAATACTTACTTCCTTGAAGCAACCCCGACTGTAGAAGAAGGGCTGGGGTCACAATATTCTTCAGCTCACGCGCCTCCTGGGTCACCTGTCTCCTCACCAGCTCTATCTCTTCCTCTTCCTCCCTGGACACTGGCCTACACTTCACAGAACCTGCACATGGACAAAAGCGTTAGTTCTCACAAGCTTCAGACAACAATACATATTCATACCAACACATTCAAACACAAAGACAGAAGTGATAACCAAAGACCTATAGTTTGAAAATGGGTAGGCACATGTTTGCTGACAGTCGTCCCAGGCCAGCACTCCCAATCACCAAAGGCAAAGAACCATCGATTTCACCTGCACCCAGCCAAAGTTGCCCTGTTGCCTAGACACTGAGTACAGATGCATGAACTGCTCAAAGGTAGGCTCCCCTCGTTTCGCCAACCACCATGCTATGTACACCTCGTGCAGTATACACCAGAAGTTGGGATTATACTGCCTAGGGGCATAGCCCAATCTGGAAAGCATCATTTGCACCCAAGGATGCAATGGTAACCTCAACCCATGTTTGTACATAGCTGAGAACACCATAACCCAACCCTCGGGAGGGTATCTAGCCGCTTCAGCAGGTATGGGCAACCTCAGCCCCACACAATCAGGTATCGCATAGTCTGCCTTCAGTGACTCTAGATCATACAAACTCATCATATTTTTCTTCGGTAGTGGAACCCCTATTGGAATACCCACATCAGCGGATGCTACTACCACTGTACCACACCCCGATGGCCCAGCCCGCCCACTTCCACTGGCCTCTGGTGCCTGGGTTATCCCCAACACCCGGTTTGCACAAGCTTCTAGGGCCACATAGTTCCTTTGCATCTCCCTATAAGCTTCCCCCCCAGAACTCCTTGACTGCTCTTCTCCCCCAACCCTATTTCCCTCCACTATTAGCCCTTCCACCACACGTTCAGACTCAGTACTTTCCCCATCAGTACCCAAGTCTTCATTAGGGCTACCACTCTCAAACTCTTCCCCACTGAAGGCATGGGGACTTGGGGAGCTTTGACTTTCTCTTTCAGAATTATCAAACATCTACAAACACAAAAAGGGAAACTAAGGGGCCTGCGAAGATTGAAAACAAGAGCCTAGGCATGTTCTTAATATGTTCATGGACGTTCATCTACGTTCATACCACATTCATGCAAAACTCAAACAAAAGAGGCATTTCAATCCAGAAAGGGAGAATGAGCACAAGGCATACCTTGTTATCTCCACCGTCCACGGTTGCCGGAAATCGCCTGGCTCACAAAGGTACCTTCTCAAGCCTCGCCGGAAATCGCTCCGCCGTCCTTGAAATCTCTCAGAAATCGCCCTTGCTCGTCTACTAAAATCTTTCGAAAACTCAAAATGCTCACTCCTTCAGCCCTCCACAACCTTTTAAAGGCATACGAAGGACCCCTCGATTCTCGTTCCAAGCAATAACTCATCATACCGTTGGGACGCCTCGATTTCCACGAACAGACGTTTCTCTACCACTGCCACATGGCACTCATGACATCACACCTTCCCTTCGGGAGGCTCCCTTCCGAAGCTTGGAAGGATCCCTCGCGATGACGTCACACCTTCCCTTCCGAAGCTCGGAAGGATCCCTTGCGATGACATCACACCTTCCCTTCGGAAGGCTCCCTTCCGAAGCTTGGAAGGATCCCTCGCGATGACGTCACACCTTCCTTTCGGAAGGCTCCCTTTCGAAGCTTGGAAGGACCCCTCGCGACAAGCGATGATGTCACACCTTCCCTTCGGAAGGCTCCCTTCCGAAGCTTGGAAGGATCCCTCACGGTGACGTCATACCTTCCCTTTGGAAGGCATGATGACGTCACACCTTCCCTTCGGAAGGCTCCCTTCCAAAGCTTGGAAGGATCCCTTGTGATGACGTCACACCTTCCCTTCGAAAGGCTCCCTTCCGAAGCTTGGAAGGACCCTTCGCGACATGCGGTGACGTCACACCTTCCCTTCGGAAGGCATGATGACGTCACACCTTCCCTTCGGAAGGCTCCCTTCCGAAGCTTGGAAGGAGACCTCGTGCTGACGTCACACCTTCCCTTCGGAAGGCTCCCTTCCGAAGCTTGGGAGGACCACTTGCGGTGACGTCACACCTTCCCTTCGGAAGGCATGATGAACACCAAGGTAGACATGTCTTCCTCCCTGCCAAAGGGAGATGCTCTTCCGAAGGGACAACCACCTGCCGAAGCTCTGAACTGCCAAACCTAAAACACAGGAGACACGTGTCATCATCACAGCAACTTGCACAAAGTCCCACTATCGGAACTTTGTGCAAACCTCCTACTTTTACTTCCTTATAAATAGGGAACAGTAACCAAGAAAAAGGGTAACTTCTCTTCCACTATTACTGTTACTTTACGATAGTCACTACCCCTAGCTGACTCAGGCATCGGAGAGCCTTCGGCTAGCACCACACCGGTGTCCGAAGCTTAACGACTGCTTCTTCTATTTTTGTCTCCTGCAGGCTAGCCTTTTACTGAAGGCCCAGACCCTTCTCTTGCTAAAGGCAAACCCCTATCTCTAAGTTGACCCTCTCCGAAAAAGAGCATCAACATTGTTGAAATTTTACTTTGTTGTTTGGAGATGCCCCACATCCACCAATCACTCATCCATGGACTGTCGAATTTTCAGTGGTCTTGGTCTTGGTCTTGGTCTTCAATTTCCTGTAATAGTATTTGGTCCTCCTTTTGCATCCCCTCCCTGTAAACGGATATTGGATTCTTATTTTGACATAAAACGGAAAATAAAAAATAAACAAACAAACACACACTTGATTTCAGATTTGCTTTGTATTTACGAAAAGATGGAGCCTCATGGTAGGCTGATTTTGTTTACCTGCCTTCATGGATTCCTTCTTTTATGCATGAACACACCTCTGGAATCTGCAACTCTACCTAGTTGTAATACTTCTGGAAATGAAACTGATCGCTGGACTTGAAGAAAAGAATCACTCAAGATCCTCTCCATGTCATGAGCTCAGGGAATGATTCCCTTCATTTCTGCAATTGGGTTGGCGTTACATGCAACCGTTGCACCAAAAGAGTTGTGATTTTGATGCTGACTGCTCAAAAATTGGCAGGCTCCTTACCAAAATCTATAGGAAATCTTTCTCGCCTTACCGGAATCGACCTGAGGAACAACAGCTTTGCTGGTGAAATTCCTCAAGAAATAGGTCGTCTTCGAAGCCTGCGATCTCTCAACCTGTTTCGGAATTCCTTTGGCGGCAAAATTCCAAGTAATATATCTCACTGTGCACAACTAAGAGCGCTTCGTTTAGCTTTCAATGAGCTTATTGGATCCATTCCGAACCAAGTCAGTTCATTGGTGAATTTATATTATGTATCTGTTGCTGCTAACAATCTCACCGGAGCGATCCCAAATTGGATAGGAAACTTTTCTTATCTGCATACTCTTTACCTTTCCAAAAACAATTTTCGAGGAAGCATACCAAATGAGCTCGGGCGTCTGACACACTTGGCGGAATTTGACATTTCATTGAATAATCTGTTTGGTATTGTCCCTTCTTCAATCTATAATATTTCTTCCATTACAATTTTCGGTGTTGCTGGGAACCAGCTACATGGAGGCCTACCACCAAATGTTGGCATTAGTCTTCCCAATCTCGAAATTTTTGACTGTGGTATGAACAACTTCAGAGGAGCTATTCCTGCGTCGTGGTCAAATTCTTCTAGACTTCAGGAGCTTGATTGTGTTAGTGTTTTGTGAAAAATAGTGAAGAGAGCAAGGAGAATACAGAGAGAATCAAATCGTGTGTGTATTTTTTCATTTCACAGCTCTTACAATTACATCACTTTGTATCTCAGCCCTGCATCTATAACTGCTTAATAAAAACATTACACGTGGCTTATAAGCCTTTTACTACTAAAGCCTAACACCAGTCATTTTTATTGACTAAGTGAATACACCATTAGCTGACCAGGCTTAATTCCATTTCCTATCAGCTCACTACTTACATTTCAACACTCCCCCTTAAGTTGTGAGCTGATTTCACACCAAGCTTCTCTCTAAGATAGCTGAACCGATCCTTGGCCAAAGCCTTTGTAAAGATATCTGCTAGTTGCTCATTCGTAGGACAATAGATCAAATCCACAGTTCCTTCTTGCAAAGCATCTTTAACAAAATGATACCTCCGATCAATATGCTTGGTTTTCTGATGGAAAACAGGATTCCTTGTAATGGCAATAGCTGAAATGTTGTCACAGTGGAGAGGTGTAGCTTCTGTTTGAAGTTCTCCAAAGTCTTCTATGACAAATCTCAACCAAATAGCTTGTGTTGTTGCTTCAGAGGCACTGATGTATTCAGCTTCTGCAGTAGAGAGTGCAACACAATTTTGCTTGACTGAGGCCCAAGCAAACACTCCACTCCCAAAAGAAAAAGCGTATCCAGATGTGCTTTTGCTATCATCCACTGAGCCACTCCAATCGCTGTCAAAATAGCCAATTAGAACTGCCCCTTTTCCTTTCACATACTCCAGACCATAATCCAAGGTTCCTTTTACATATCTAAGGATACGTTTTGCTGTTCCAAGGTGTTTGCTAGTGGGACAATGCATAAACCTTGCAAGCAAACTAGTTGCAAACATAATGTCGGGTCTAGTAGCTGTGAGATACAGCAGACTCCCAACAATCCTTCTATATTGCTCTTCACTTGCCAAACCACTCCCATCATCCTTACTTAGTTTCTCCGAGGTAACTAGTGGAATAGACACCGGTTTACACTCACTCAAACCAAATCTATTTAACAGAGTTGTTGCATATTTCTTCTGATGAATGAATATGCTTGTTGGTGTTTGAATGACTCCCATTCCCAAGAAGTGATGCAAGAGCCCCAGATCAGTCATTTCATATTTCTCCTTCATGTCCTTCTTGAAGTCTTCTAACATCTCTTGATCATTTCCAGTGTAGACAATATCATCTACATAAATGGATACTATCAATATGCTTGCTTCACCTCTTGCTTTGACATAAAGAGTAGCTTCACTTTGGCTTTTTGTGAAACCACACTCAGCAAAGTAACCATCAATTTCACTATACCAAGCTCTTGGCGCCTGTTTCAAGCCATAGAGAGCTTTGTGCAGCTTGTAAACCTTGCTTTCACTCCCCTTCATCACAAATCCCTCCGGCTGATCTACATACGCTTCTTCCTCTAAGACACCGTTTAGAAAGGCTGACTTGACGTCTAATTGATACAGCTGCCAACCCTTCTGAGCTGCAAGTGCAATTAGAGTCCGGATTGTGTCTAATCTAGCCACTGGTGCGAATGTTTCATTGTAGTCCACCCCTGGTTTTTGTGAGTATCCTTTAGCCACCAATCTTGCCTTATTCTTCTGTACTGAACCGTCCAGATTTAGCTTAGTTTTAAACACCCATTTAACCCCAATCACTGGTTTGTCCATAGGTCTGTCAACAAGCTCCCATGTATCATTCTTTTCTATCATGTTCAACTCATCTTTCATTGCCTTCATCCATGACTCATCCTTCACAGCTTCTTCAAACTTCTCAGGCTCCATTGTGCACAGATTGCATTGTGCCAAAATGTCATCCAACTTCCTCCATTTCAAAGGAGTGTGATCAAAGTTCTGAGTGTCTTCCAATCTGCTGCTTGCCTTGCTTGATACTCCATAAGAAATTGAGTCTAAAGGTCTGAAACCAGAATTTCTATTTCCTGCAGGTGTCTCAAACACTTCCACTTGAGTATTCCTAGGCTGCACTTCTTCATTCACCATTATCACAGAATTTTCAGTTGCTTCCTTCCAATTCCAGGTTGCTCCTTCATCAAACACAACATCCCTTGACAATAAGAGCTTCCTAGTGATAGGGTCAAAGACTCTATAACCCTTTTCACAAGTAGCATAACCAACAAACACTCCCTTTGTGCTCTTGGCATCCAATTTTTGTCTCCCTTCAGCTGGTTTATGTACAAAGCAGACGCTGCCAAACACTTTTAAATGAGCAACACCTGGTTTCCTTGTACTATACGCTTCAAAAGGAGTTTTGTTTCTGAGTGCCTTGGTAGGACATCTATTCAATAGGTACACGGCAATATGTACAGCCTCTGCCCACAGATAGTAAGGTAGCTCCTTCTCATGTAACATAGCCTTTGCCATTTCTACCACCGTCCTATTCTTTCTTTCTACCACTCCATTTTGTTGTGGAGTATATGCCATAGAAAACTGCCTTTGAATACCTGCCTCTTCACACAGCCTATCGAATTCACTGGATGTGAATTCTCCTCCTTTATCACTTCTTACACATTTCACTTTAAAACCACTTTGCAGCTCTACCATAGACTTGAATTTTCGAAAACAATTTAGTGCATCTAACTTGTATCTCAAGAAGTAGACCCAAGTCAACCTTGTAAAATCGTCTATGAGCAGCATAAAATATTTATTACCTGCCAGGGACTCAGTTTGCATTGGTCCACACAAGTCCATGTGTATTAGCTCAAGGGGTGTACTTGCCCTCCAGGCTTTGTTCTTAGGAAACCATTCTCTATGTTGTTTCCCAAACTGACATCCTTCACAGACTCCATCTACAGCTTCCAGATGTGGTAGACCATGCACCATCTCCTTTTCCTTGAGCTGGTTCAGCCCTTTTAAATGTAAATGCCCCATTCTCTTGTGCCAAATCCAGGTAAAGTGAGACACACCAGCTTTTAATGCAACATAGGTATTTGAAGACAAAGACAATGGATAACATCTATTCTTTCTCATTTCCACCTTCATAATAAGGTTTTCCAGTGAAGCATCATCAAAAATACTGCACATATTGCTTCCAAACACCAAATGGTAACCATGTTCATCCATTTGACCCACACTTAACAAGTTCTCTCAAACCAGGCAGATACATGACCTCCTTGATAAACTTTGTACCAGAGTTTGTGTCAAGCACTAAAGTGCCCATGCCAGCTATGCTTACAAGCTCCCCTGTTGGCATTTGTACCTTGCCTGTGACACTTGGATTTATGTCAATTAACAGCTCCTTGTTCCCAGTCATATGATTACTGCAGCCACTGTCTACATACCATTCTCCATTTGCACTCTTCTCTGAAATTGCACAATTAGCAAAAAACAGATTTCCTCTTACTTCTACTTGACTTGCATTGTTTGCTTTCTGCACTCCTTTGTTTGCAGTACAATCTCTAGCCCAATGTCCAAATCTATCACACTTATAGCACTTAGATTGGCCCTTATATCTACATTCCCCAAAATGGAATTTCGAGCAAACTTTGCATTGAGGCTTCACTCCATCTTGATGCACATATTGTGATCCATTTGAGGTCTGTGCAGCACCAGCTTGCTGTGGCTTCTGCCTAGACTCCCATGGTTTGTTATTCGACTTCCAATTTTTCTGAGACTTAGCAGAACCAGTTTGAGAACCATTCTTATTCCGCCCTTTTGTTTCAACTGAGAAAGAACCAAATGCCTTCTCAGCTATATCCACATTATGCATATCAAACCGCTGCTCTTGACTCTTCAATATTGCAATAACCTTCTGCAATTCAATAGTCTCCAAACTCTTTGTATTTTCAATCACCAAGCAGATAGGATCATATACTCTACTAAGACTTATTAACACCTTTAGCCCAAGCGATTTGAAAATCGTTGTCATCTTAATCCTCCAAAACTCGTAGTTCTCACTGGAGAAAATTGGAGTCCTCACCTCCGACCCTCCAGACCCAGACATCCTTTGGTCCGAATCAATTGATCTCTCTTCTCAGATGCTAACGTCTGCAACCTTCACAGAGCTTCAGGTGAGCTTCGATTGAGCTCAGTGCCTTCACATATTACGCCCAGATCTAAATGATCCAACCTGGCTCTGAGGCCATGTTAGTGTTTTGTGAAGAATAGTGAAGAGAGCAAGGAGAATACAGAGAGAATCAAATCGTGTGTGTATTTTTTCATTTCACAGCTCTTACAAATTGAGCACACTATCTGTGAGCTATATATCTAGCTAGATACAATTACATCACTTTGTATCTCAGCCCTTCACCTATAACTGCTTAATAAAAACATTACACGTGGCTTATAAGCCTTTTACTACTAAAGCCTAACACCAGTCATTTTTATTGACTAAGTGAATACACCATTAGCTAACCAGGCTTAATTCCATTTCCTATCAGCTCACTACTTACATTTCAACAGATTGTTCTGCAAATGGTTTGACCGGGACACTCCTTGCTGAAAATCTTGGAAGGTTGCGTAGCTTAGTTCGGATAAACTTCGGTGGCAATAGACTGGGAAGTGGGAAAGCTGGCCACTTGAATTTTTTCAGCTTCTTGGCTAATTGTACTGGCCAAGAGAAATTGGGTCTGGACCATAACCATTTTGGAGGAGAATTGCCAAGGTCCATAGCCGACCTATCCACCCAACTAAAATATCTTTATTGGGGAAAATATTGATACATGGAAGCATCCCTGAAGGCATTGGGAATCTTACAAGCTTGGCCCTTCTTGCGATGGAGGACAACTATTTCACTAGTAGTGTACCCGATGCCATTGGGAAGCTTCAAAAGTTACAGGTATTGTCTTTGTCTTTTAACAACTTTTCTGGGCCGATACCTTCCTCCCTAGCTAACTTGACTTCATTGATAATGGTAGTCATCCCGGATAATAGGTTTGAGGGAAGTATACCTCCAAGTCTTGGGAACTGCCAAAGTCTACTCACACTTGACGTTTCTAATAACCGTCTAACAGGCACCATACCTAGAGAGCTTTTTGCGATTTCATCCCTTTCAGTTTCTTTGAGAATTTCTAACAATTCTTTGACTGGTTCGTTACCATCTGAAGTGGGTGATTTGGTAAATCTTGTGGAGCTGGATGTGTCAGGAAATAAGCTATCAGGTGAAATCCCAACAACTCTAGGCAGTTGTATTATGTTGGAACGCCTGTATATGCGAGGTAATGAATTTGAAAGAACAATTCCTGACTCTCTTAAAGGTTTAAGAACCTCGGAAGAAATGGATATTTCACACAACAACTTATCCGGGGAGATTCCTAAATTTTTAGAAAAGCTCAGGTTTCTTAAGTATCTCAATCTTTCTTATAATGATTTTGAAGGTGAATTGCCTAAAGAAGGGATCTTTTCAAATTCAAGTAGTCTCTCAATTATTGGAAACAATAGGGTCTGTGGTGGTCTCCCGAAATTACTTTTACGTGCATGCTCCATCAAATGTCATCCTGGGTAATTTTGTGGCTTTGGCTCACTTAAGCTTGTGGCATGGCTTGGTATTAGAATAGTGGTCATTTGCATGACATTTATTTATCATGCTTGTGCTTGAGTTTTTATTATGCCGTAATAGGCTATAATGGGCCAAGTAACACTGGATAGGTAGATGAGCGTGATTTTGTAAAGTTGGTATGTTCTTGGCCCTTTTTGCATGTGCTTGCTTGGCATGACACGTGACCCGTGGCTTGCATTGGTGTGTCCTACAGATTCTCTTTTGTCCCGATCGGGTTCCCCTTGTGTTCAATTATCCGTGTTGGGCCAATAATAGATCTGGGCCTAGCCCCTTGGATTTTTGGGCATCAACAGCTTTTAAAAGGCAATGTGAAGTGTGGGATGGGCTGCCAATTTTGAAACTTATTAGTTTCTTTGAGAAGCCGGTGCCGCATTTATGCGTGCGGGGAACACTCAGCAGATTGATCCATCAAAGAAGACAAAATAATGGTGTCATTCGGACAAACTTGGGCAATTGATCCGGCGACAAGTCTTTCAGTCATTTGCCAAGTTGGTCCCTTTAGCCTCGTTTGTTACGGAAGATTGTCTTGGCATGAACTATTCTCATAAATTGTCTTGGCTTGAATTGGCTTAAGTTGAATAACACTTAACCGATGTTTGGTGATGCTTGGATTGGGACTAAATTTAAATTGATTAAAATATCAATAAATAGAATGATATATTTCAACTTCTATTCTTCTGTACAAACGTGGGTTAAAAATATTCCAAAGTTTTATTTAATAAGGTTTATTTTTTAGGTTTATATAGGTTTTAAATTTGAGGGCATTTGTGTCTATTTAAATGATTTTTTTGTTATATTTGAAATATTTTACAAAAACTGACATTTTTGAAATTAAAAAGATCAAATTTTAGCTATTTTTGATCAATTCTCCACGTGGCTAGGTTGTTGAAAAAGGAGAAAAAGAATAAATTAATTAAAATAAAACAAATGAGAGACCCACCGAAAAAAAAATAGGAGTTGGGTGCCGAAAAGTAGTGGAGAGTGAATAAAGAGAGATAGCGTGGGAGCACATGAGACGGAAGGTAAGGTAAAGACAAAACATGACCATAAAGAAAAAGGAAGAAAGAAAAATTGTGCCTGACAAGAAAGTTGTGTCTGATAAGAAAATTGAAGGAAAAGTTTGAAAAGAGTGCTCAAGTGAGCAAAGAGAGAAACAGAAAAGGGTTTTCGTTTCGTGGGGTTCACATGTAGGTTTTCGTGGGTGATGAGCTTGAGAAGGGGACTGAGTTTGAGGAAGAAATGGAGATATTTGAGATGGAGAGAGAGATGGATGTGGAGAGTAAATATAAAAAATGGTGAAAGAGACGAAGTTCCCTCAATTCTATGACAGAGAAGTTCGAGATCACAAAGCGAGTGAGACTTTGTTCTGATCACAAAGGAAAGGACTAAGGAGGGACAAGAGGACTGAGAGGACTGTGCTTTGCCAATTTATAGTTCTTCTTTGCACAACACAGTCCCTCTGTTCAGATTAAATTCACCAAATTTTAACAATCTCACTGGAGCAATCCCAAATTGGATAGGAAACTTTTCTTATTTGCATAATCTTTATCTTACCGAAAACAATTTTCGAGGAAGCATACCAAATGAGCTCGGGCGTCTGACACGCTTGGCGGAATTTTCAATTTCATTGAATAATCTGTTTGGTATTGTCCCTTCTTCAATCTATAATATTTCTTCCATTACATCTTTCGATGTTACTGGGAACCAGCTGCATGGAGAGCTACCACCAAATATTGGCATTAGTCTTCCCAATCTCGAAGCTTTTTCGTGTGGTATGAACAACTTCACAGGAGCTATTCCTGCGTCGTGGTCAAATTCATCTAGACTTGGGTACCTTGATTGTGGTAGAAATGGTTTGACTGGGACACTCCCTGCTGAAAATCTTGGAAGGTTGCGAAGCTTAGTTTTGATAAACTTCAGTCGCAATAAACTGGGAAGTGGGAAAGCTGGTGACTTGAATTTTTCTCAGCTTCTTGGCTAATTGTACTGGCCTAGAGAAATTGGGTCTGGACCATAACCATTTTGGAGGAGAATTGCCAAGGTCCATAGCCGACCTATCTACCCAACTAAAATGTCTTTATTTGGGGAAAAATTTGATACATGGAAGCATCCCTGAAGGCATTGGGAATCTTACAAGCTTGGCCCTTCTTGCGATGGAGGACAACTATTTCACTGGTAGTGTACCCGATGCCATTGGGAAGCTTCAGATGTTACAGGCATTGATTATGGGTGTTAACAAATTTTCTGGGCCGATACCGTCCTCCCTAGGTAACTTGACTTCATTGATAATGGTACTCATCTCGGATAATAGGTTTGAGGGAAGTATACATCCAAGTCTTGGGAACTGCCAAAGTCTACTCACACTTGGCGTTTCTAATAACCGTCTAACAGGCACCATACCTAGAGAGCTTTTTGCGATTTCATCCCTTTCAGTTTCTTTGAGAATTTCTAACAATTCTTTGACTGGTTCGTTACCATCTGAAGTGGGTGATTTGGTAAATCTTGTGGAGCTGGATGTGTCAGGAAATAAGCTATCAAGTGAAATCCCAACAACTCTAGGCAGTTGTATTATGTTGGAACGCCTGTATATGCGAGGTAATGAATTTGAAAGAACAATTCCTGAGTCTCTTAAAGGTTTAAGAACCTTGGAAGAAATGGATATTTCACACAACAACTTATCCGGGGAGATTCCTAAATTTTTAGGAAAGCTCAGGTTTCTTAAGTATCTCAATCTTTCTTATAATGATTTTGAAGGTGAATTGCCTAAAGAAGGGATCTTTTCAATTATTGGAAACAATAGGGTCTGTGGTGGTCTCCCGAAATTACTTTTACATGCATGCTCCATCAAAAATTCCAATTCATCATATCATCGACTACTTGCCCCAAAGGTAATCATCCTTGTAGCTTGTGCAGTTGCATGCATAATTGCTCTGTCATGCTTCATTGTTGCTCGTTCGAAGGTGAAAAAGTCAAGAGGTGGCCTAGTAACTTCAGATTCTTATAGGGGTTGGAAAATCAGTCTCTTACTTGGAACTCGTTGAGTCAACTAACGGCTTCTCTGTGGACAATTTGATTGGTTCCGGAAGTTTTGGTTCTGTTTACAAAGGAGTACTTCCTAGTGATGGGAGGGCAGTTGCTGTTAAGGTTTTAAATCTTCAACAACGAGGAGCTTTCAGGAGTTTCATTGATGAATGCAAAGCTTTAAGAAGTATACGGCACCGTAATCTTCTCAAGATCATTACTGCATGCTCGAGCATTGATAATCAGGGTAATGACTTCAAGAGTCTAGTATTCAAGTTCATGGCAAATGGAAGTCTAGACTCATGGCTGCATCCTAGAGATGATGAGCAACCTCAACAAAGTAAGAGATTGAGCCTTATCCAGAGACTCAATATTGCGACAGACGTTGCTTCTGCATTAGATTATCTCCACCACTGTTGTGAAACAACCATTGTTCATTGTGATCTAAAGCCAAGCAATGTTCTTCTTGGTGAAGATATGGTAGCCCATGTTGGTGACTTTGGTTTAGCAAGGTTCCTCTTGGAAGCATCAGATAATTACTCCCAAAGTCAAATCATGTCAGCTGGGCTAAGGGGTTCGATGGGCTACATTCCTCCAGGTATCATTCTCTTTTTCTCTCTACCTAATAAGTTTAAGACTAAGCCAACTTATTAAGTCTCTTCCAATAAAACAAAAGAAAGATAATCGAAATGAGATGTAAGTTGTAAATGATTTGAGTGTGACATCATAATGCATGAATTGAATGACAGAGTACGGCATGGGAGGCCAAGTTTCCATTCTGGGAGATATTTATAGCTTTGGAATACTGTTGCTAGAAATGTTCACTGGAAAAAGACCTACAGATGACATGTTCAAAGATGGTCTAAGCATTCACCAATTCACAGCCATCACAATGCCTAATGGGTAAGGATCTCAGATATCTTATACCTTTGATGACTTAATCTTATGCTCTGAGCAGAACCGTTGCAATCCCTGCAGTGAGAGTTGCAAAGTAAGAGACACTATATCACTTAACAACAGGTTTATCATTGATCTCTAATTACTATTTCATAAACAATAATTGAATCATCACCTTACTTTTAATATTACAAAACTAACTTTTCTGAATTCTTTCTTGTCATCACTAATGTCCACAAACAGAATTCCAATTTAGAAGTTAGATTTTCAAATCCCACATATTTCCCAAACCAGTCTTCTTCAAGTCAACTATGCTAAAACATTGCAATCAGTTCCTAGAATCACACTCCCAAATTTTCTTTCCCTTACCAAAAAAAAATTATCAAATTCAAATCCCCAGTCCCATAAACCAGTATAAGAACGAATTTGAATTAAAACCCTCTAATAAAAGAACGAACATATCCTGCTTACCAAAACAGAGCTATCCTAAACCCTGTTACAAAATAACCAGCATACCCAAATACCAACTTAGAAAACCAACTTTTGACATGACAAATGAATAAACCAACTTAGAAAACCAAAAGAACGTTAAAACCAACCTTTTTTTACGAAACCCAGAAATCCTTTGAGCTAAACCCGTGCGATGAGATGAAGGATGAAGCGCATCTGGAACGGCAACACACGAACGCAACATCTAAGAGGAGAACTAATGAGATAAAAACCAAAAGGGCGGCTGGATTTGCAGCGCGCCTCCCCAAACGAAAATCGACGGCCCCCCACGCATGCAGAACAGTGAGCTCTGATCTTCCATGGCTGCCCCCAGCCAGTCCAACCAACTCGTTCGAAACGGACTGGAAAGCTGAGAGCGAACGAAACGTTCGAATTGAAAGAGATGCAAATGGGAAAGGCCAAAAGGGGAACATAAGGGAAAATTCAGTAAAGGGCAAAATCGACAATTGTCTGTACTGTTAGGAAAATATAGGCTGTGTAACAGTGTAATAGTGAAACAGCCACTATTCAAGGAACAGTGCTTATGAATAGTATCTGATTGCATTGGGCTTTAGTATATATAGAATTTCTAATCTTGACTGTTGGATTGCATGTATATTGTATACTAAATCTACCAACACATCTAATGAATGTAATTCAACAGTTGAAATTAGAAATATGTAATCAGTCCATAACTTAAATACTTATTACAAAATAATCCTTCTGATATCCCTCACATAAAAGTACTTTTGAAGAGTATCTAGGAATACCAAATATAGTGAAATGGAGAGTTCTAACTAGTGATATGAGGTTATAAGCATGAGTTCTAACTAGTTGAAGTTCTTCTGCCTTTCTAAATTCCAAGTTACAATAGGGGGACTATGAGGTGCTTGTTGTTCCTTTTATTCATTCAAATTCTGTATGAGCACAACATCTTACAACACGGTGGTATAAGTAGTCTATTGTAGGTTTTTTTCATTATATTTTATTTTATCACTCAATTGCAAATTTGAACTAGAAGTTCATAATTCATTGATTTTATAACTAGTTGTTTCTAAGTTGTGATAATTTTAGAACTCGAAGTTATAAATGTAATGATGTATTATTATTCAGAGAAACAAAAAAGAGAGATTATGACCAGAAGATATAGATTCTCAATTCACATGGATCTGTCAATCTAAAAAGGGCATGAAGATCCTTAATTCGTATACAATCAAATGAAGACCTCGAAGTTCATTCCATATAATATATAAGGATATAGAGTTCGGCAGTTTTGAAAAGCAAATCAAGAATTGAAGTTCTTTGATATTTTTTTCTAATTAGAACTAGAAGTTCAATCAATTTATTTTATTCAAGTATTATAATTATTGTTTTCCATTTATCGTTGTATTTATTATTTTTTCTTTTGTTTGAGTAATTCATATGTATGGTCATTTGTTGAAGAATATGAGTCCCACAGCTAGGCCTTTTGTGATATCACCGAGGCCTTTTGTGATAAATGAATGGTTCCAATACTAATATCACTGAGGCATTTTGTGAAAAAACTCTACACCTACTAGGCTTTGTAGGTGGTTACTAGGGGTGGGCATCAAAACCGGAATACCGAAACCATCCCGAAACCGTGCCAAACCATGCCAATTTTGTGCCAAACCATTTGGTGTTGACGTGTAAACGGGATGATACCGTGTCATCCCATTACTGTTTGGCACGACATCGGTTTCAACTTTGTGATCCCGTTTCGTGTCATACCGTATCGAACAGTAAATGTAAATAATAACCCTAACTTTATACGAACCATAGTTGTTTAAATACAGGCCGGAACAAAACATAGCAATAAATACCAAGCATCCCATGCCATCACCTGCCACACTGGAAGATAATAGCAAAAAATAAGTCAACACAAGACAATAGCAAAACCACACTGGAAGATGACGTGAGAGACTAGCATAAGACTACCACATGGAAAGTTTTATTGCCGTTGTAAACCCGTTTCCCTCTTCTACCAATTTCACTCCGATCTCAGATTCTCATAATATATGGAAAGTTCTTTTGGTTTGCAATTATTTGTTTTCAATGTGAGAAATTGTTTTGATTTTGGTTCCAACATCATTGATTTGCTTGTATTATTCTTGTGTGACTGTCAATAATAAGAAAACTGAGAAGATCTTGGGTAAGGTAAGGCTACTAGATGATATTTAATTGTTGAACAGGGGAAAACGTTGCTGTTTAACACTAATTTATGCAAGCATGCGTGGGAAGATAGATTTCATGATATTCAATTACAGTTCATATTAGGAAGATTAACTACTGTCAATAATTATATTCTTGATTGTTTATTTTGTTGTATTACACTTATTTATGAAACTTTGCAGATTTTTTACGATATCAACATTGATACCGAATCATACCGATCCCGATTAGGTTCGGTATGGTTTGAACGTGTTTTCAAAAACTCTCATCCCGTGTCATCCCATACCGATTCTCCTATTCGGGATTGACACCGAGATGACCTCCATCCCGTGTCATCTCATACCGTGCCCACCCCCAAGGATTAAAGTATTGGCCGTGCAGATAATATCGGGCCTCCAATTTACGGATATTTCGGGAGATATATCGTTATCGTTTTAGGTATCGGGAAAAAAATCAACAAAATGAAATATATAGGCATTGAAACACATAATTTTAGTGTAAAACTTTCATAGATGTTATGTACATTATCAATGAATGTATTGACAAATAAAACTCAAAATTTACTAATAATAATATATACATATGATGAAATATAAGTGGCATATAATGTGCGTTAATGAAAAGTTTGAAAATAAAATGTTAATTAGAATGAATAAACCATGCATAAATCCATAGTTTGTTTAAACATTGGATTACAATTTAGATAAGTGTACATCTACATAAATGAAGAGCTCTTATGAGGTTCAAATAATGAGGAACAACCATCTAGATTCATACAATAGTCATACCAAGTCATGTAACCCGAGCAGTTTGTAAGCCATGTTTGAATGTGGTGCACATAGGTCTCTCTTGAGCTCCCTATTGTCCTCCCATATATGGGATAGTTAGGATTAACTAACTAGTAGGTCCATAATCTTTTTTATCATCTTGAGCTCCATAACTAGTTTCACTATAATCATACATGACATAACCATAGCCATCATAAGATTCATTTGAGTTAGTACTAGGTCTAGTTCCTATGCTCATGGATCCAAAACTGATCGCCATGTCCTTTTTAGATGGATTGGAGGTATGTGGGTAGTAGACTGTGCATAGATTCTTCATAATAATAAATTATAGGGCTCTGGGCAAGGATTAGCTATTTTTGGGTTTCAATTTGCTTCAATTGCCTTCAAAACTTCTGATTTTTTTTTGGGTTCTGTTATGGGTATCGGAAAATATCGAGGATATCAGCAAAATATCGGGAATATCGCACTTATCGGGGATATATCGTTGATACAGGGGAAGATATGGCCATACCCCCCAATATCGGTGTCGATAGTTGAAAATACCAATATATCGGCAGATATATCGGTGTATCGGCCGATATTTCAATCCTTGCCCACCCCTAGTGGTTACTGTGAAAATCCATATTCTTAAAAGTTTTTAAAGAAGATTAAACGTTTATGTATATGTACTGTTTTACATTTACAATACTATTTTAATAATTATTCGTACTTAGTAAATATATATATATATGTTTATTTGAATAACTATAAAATATATTTATTATTTGATTTTCTCTAAAGGGTACCCTTAGACATTTCTTGGGTATTTAACTTACATAATTGTATATATTTATAATAATATTCATTATTAGAATTGTGTTATTCATATCTTGTTTATTAAGTAGCTAAAAAATCTCTTTTTATCTTTTTGAGCAAGTTAACTTGGACAAAACCAGTTAAGGCTGAATTAGATGAGAGTGATAGAGCTTTATTTATTTCTTGTAAAGTTGTAAGATTTTAGAACTATTTTTTAGAAGAGAAGTTTATTTTAAACCCATGTTTCGGCTTCTTTTTATTTTATTTTAGTTTTTATTTTCTCACGCACCGAGCGCAGGGTTTTCACTGACCCCGGGTTCGGGGCGCGACAGTTACGTTTGGGACAATATTGGTGTTGTTAGTAATGGGCACTGGCCTGTCTCTCTGAATTTAACATGGTATCAGAGCGGGTTGACTGACTGGGCCTGAATTTGGCCTTTACCCTTACCCAATATCTAATGTTCACATGTTGGGCTTGAATGTTTACCTCTACCCTTTACCCAATACGTAGTGCTCATGTGTTGGGCTTGAATGATCGACTTCGATGTGGACTTGGCTCCACGTGTGGCCCACTATGCGGTGGTCCCACGTGAGGGGGTGTGTTGAAGAATATGAGTCCCACATCGAAAACTTAACTAAATAAAATACAATATATAATGAATGGTTCAACTACTAATATCACTGAGGCCTTTTGTGATAAAACCCACACCTACTAGGCTTTGTAGGTGGTAAGTTGGGGACAATATCGGTGTTGTTAACACCTTTAAGGTAAAAAGTACGATCCAAAGTTGAAATATTTTAAAACCTACAGTTCTTTGATTTACCTTTGATTTGAACCAGAAGTTTCGGAAGATTTATTTTATTGAAATATTTTTATTATTACTGTTGATGCTCTTTTTGGGAGGTCAACTTAGAGGGAAGTGGATTTTAGCAGGGGAGAAGGTGAGGACCTTCGGCAATGGAAGAGCCTGCAGAAGACAAAGTAGGAGAAGCAGTCGTTAAGCTTCTTTCACCGGTGTGGTGCCGGCCGAAGGCTCTCCGATGCTTATGTCAGCTATGGGTGGTAAAAGTGGCAGAGTAACAGTAAAAGTGAGAGAGAAGTTACCCTTTTTACTTGGGCACTGTTCCTTATTTATAGGGAAGTGAAAATGGGAGCTTTGCACAAAGTTTCGATGTGGGACTTTGTGCAAGTCACTGTGGTGGTGACACGTGTCTTGGAGATTAGGTTCAGCAATTGGGAGCTTCGGCAGGTGTCTGGCACCTCGGAAGGATGTTTTCCTTCAACAAGGAAGAAGGCGTGTCTGCCTTTGGTGCTAGTTGCTTTGATGCTGGATATGCTCGGTTGATTATCGTGTAAACAGTAGTCCCCCAAGTTCGCGGTCAAGAAGTAACTTCTGGGTTGGGAACTTGTGAGATTTTTGTGTAATCATGACCGAGCATTCTAGATTTAGTGGGAACCGTAGGGCATTCCCTAGTCCCCCAAGTTGGCAAGCTAGAAGTTGCGCCATCTTTGAAGGTATGTCTCCGGAAGAGAGCCTACGAGAGGGTGCTGGGTCTTCGGCATCGAGCCTAGGGCGCGACCTTAGCCTTGGCAAAGGGCCCAGGGCTTTGGTTAAGTAAAATTGTTGGGCTAGGCTGCGTAAAAGCTTCGGCAAGTCTTGGTTGTGGTTTGGGCCTCTCGGGTCTTGGCTCAAGAAGATTCGGCAAGGGCCGTTTGGAGAGTATTTTGTGAGCCCCTCTTCTTCTAAACTGTGCTTGCCGTTCGGCAGGTTTCCCTTTTTTTAAAATTTTTTTTTAAGGAGAAGAATCTCTTGGGTCTTTATTTGTGTCAGCCCAATGTCTGCCGTTCTGCAAGCAGGCCAGGTTGACGCATGGGCATGACATTTGGTTACTTGGGGTGTGCACGGAGGGGCCTAGGTCCTGGTTTTGGGCTGAGCCTTAGTTGGGCTTCGGTGATGGCAAAGTGGCATGGCCCAGGGTTAAAAGGCTTTGGCAAGGATGACCTAGGTTAGGGTTTTCTCAAACAAAGAGTGTTTGGCAAAAGCAACTAGCGAGGATCTTGCTTGAAGGGTGCCGCTCGGCAAGGTTTGACTGAGGGGAAAAATCGAATGACCGGTGGAGACCTCTTGCCGTTCGGCATGGATGGTTCCGAAGTGATGCGACGGTGAGACTTGGCTGTCTGTCTCCCTTCAGTGTTCCGAAACCTTCTTCACGCCTACTGCCGTTCGGTAAGCTAAATTTAGAAGATTTTGTTCGTGTCTTTTCGTAGAACGTAGGAGGCTTCGGCAAGTCTGGCTGGTACCGTTCTTATTTTCTGCATAACCCTGAGTAATTTGGGAGCTGGGTTTGCAGTTGGGATCCTTAGTCAGGGATTTTTATTGAGCTGTGTATTTGTCGTGAGCCTCCAATCAATTTTTGAACAGCCCTTGCCGTTCGGCAAGGGCAAGGTCTTCCATCTTCACAGGGAGGTTTTTGAATTTTGTGGTCTTGGCAAACCGGGGCTGGGCTTTTGGGCCTTTGGGCCTTTGGTGAGGGTCCAGAGTTGCTGGTTTTCGGAGTCTCTTTTCAGGTCTGCACAGCTTTTGGCGTTAGGGAATTTGGAGTCCCTCTGCTGTGGCGTTAGAGATCATCGGGAGAGAACCGTGAGTGCATACGGCGTCGGCTAGGTGTCCCCAAGCTCGCCTTTGGTGTTGTTGTTCATCAAGAGGACAGGTAATATGCCTTTAATGTTTCGTGGCCCTTCATTCTTCTCCATGGGCCTTGCCGTTCGGCAAGGCCTGTGTGAATAAACTGTGAGGTGGTTTTTGTTAATCTTTTGCAGGGTTTGAAGATTTGGCGAGAATTTAGAGCGGAGGAGTTCGAGAGAAGTTGAGCCCATGAGAGAAAGGTGTTGGGTTCCTTTGTGGGTGTCACTTATTAGATTTAGCCGGATCCTGCCGTTCGGTATGAGCAATTACAGAGTTTCGTGCTCACGGTGCAGTCGGCGTCGCCAAACGGGTGTGTGCGTGAGCTGGGCCCTTGCCAGATCCGCTGGGGTTTTTGCTTTTGTAGATTCGGTTTGATGATTTTGTCATTGTGGTTGCATATTCCTTCGGCAGGTTCCAAGACCGCTCCACATTCGGCAAGGAACTTGGTCCTTAGGTCTGGGCATTTCGGCAAGAGGTTAAAGTGAGCCTCCTTTCCCTTCCGTACAGCCCTTGCCGTTCGGCAAGGGTGTAGTTTTTCTTGAGGGCAGCCCAATCACAAGTTTGTCAAGGCTTGGTTTGTGACAATTCTTGGAGCTGGGTCAGCAAAGCATGGCCAAGGTGAGAATTTTTGTGATCCCCTAATTGGTTCTGCACGGGCCTTGCCATTCGGCAAGGTCCTTTCCCAAATTCCTTTCTCCATTTTTTTTTGAATTTCAAATTGTGTGTAGGTACAAGGAATTTGAGAGGGAAGATGAAAGGGTGCTAGGGTTTTCTCGTGAACCGAGGCATTGGTACCCTTGGGGCTTTATAAATAAGAGCTTGGGGTGTCGAAGGTGAAAATACTTGAGTCTTGAGAAAAATTTCTAGAAAGTGAGAATGGGGAGGAGGAGATTTCCGGTGAGATACCTCGTGGTGGTGCTGTGGCCAGGGTGATTTCCGACATCTTATTCATGGTGGTGCAAACAAGGTTAGACCTCATTTCCCTTGAACTTTTGAATTGAAATGCCCTTTTTGGTATGAACATGTTGAAGATTAGGATGAACACCTTGAATATGAGTATGAACTTGATGAACACCTTGAACATTGATATGAACTTGTTGAATGTATGTTTAGATCCTTCTGGCATGTGCATTAGTTCATTTTCCTTGTTTCTGCATATTGTAGATGTCTGAAAGTTCTGGTAGAGAAAGTCATGACCCCCTTGCTTTGGTATGGAAGATACTGAGAGTGAGGAGCCCAGCGAATATGTTTGTTCTGAATATGAGAGTTCCCAGACAGAGGGTCTAGTAGAAGGTCTTATAGAAAGTAGGATGGTAGTGCATGAGGGTGAGAGGGGTGAGCCATCAGTAGACTTGGTTCAGAGGCATATAGGAGATGCAGAGGAATTAGAAAGTGTTAGAGGCTATAGCTGATCGGGTTCTAGCCTGCCTCATACACCAGAGGTGGGCTCGAGCAATCAGGCATCACCGTTAGGGTCCGTGGGTGTAGCCGTGGCTTCAGCTTCAGAAGGAGTGGACATACAAGTTGGTGTCCCTTTGGCTAGGTGGAATACTCTTATAGAAGTGAAGTTGGCCAATCTTCGGATAGATTATAGTGTTCCACCCTATGTGGGCTTGAGGTTACCCACTGCAGCTGATGTGGTTAGATACCCTTTGGAGGGCTCTATGATGATTTTTACGGATATGTACCAGCATGGCTTCAGACTATCATTTCATCCTTAGGTACCGATGATGTTAGCCAAGCTGGGGTATGCGCCAGAGCAATATAATCCCAACTTTTGGATTCTTCTGCATGGGGTTTACATTGCCTGGTGGTTGATTGGGTTGGGGGAGCCAACATTTGAGCAGTTCATGTACCTATACTCGATTTCGAAGCAACATTGGAGTTTTGGTTGGGTACAAGACAATTGCCGAATGGCAAAAGAGAGGGGTTATTTTATTGGTCACAAGCCTTCGACACAGAAGTCCTGGAGGAACAAGTGGTGTCTGGCTTATGGTGACTGGGAGTGTTCGCCAGGGAAGACCGTCACCAAACACATTCCTACCCACTTCCAGTTTATAGGTCCTTGGCCCCATCCTTTAAGACTGATTGTTGTTTTGTTGTGTTTTACCTGCTTTCAATCTTGGTTCTCCATGTGTGCTTGTGCAAGTGTAAATGGCTAAGTAGTATCTAAACTTTGGTGCAGGTTCGGTGAAGTGGGGGCCGATCTCCAAGGAGCAAGAAGACGAAGTTGAGAGTAGACCTGACAATATTGCACACGACCGTTTACACACGACACGAATTCGCAAGAAATTATCAGTATTTGGGTTGAGCTTATTGGGTCGGGTTGAAAACGGGTGAACCTGTTAGCCACCCGTTAAGCTAACGGGTCGTGTCGGGTCGAAAACGGGTTAACCCGTTAGCCACCCGTTAAGGAGGTTAATTTTGTAATTTTACAAGATAATTTTTTTTTCTTTTCTTCTTCCCCTTTTCTTTCTTCTTTTCTGTGTCTTTTTCTTCTTTCCCTTGTTTACTTTTCTTCTTTCCTTTTTGTCTTTTTCTCCTTTCTCCTTTTCCTTTTCTTCTTCCTCTTGTTCTTCTCTTATGCTCTTCTTCTCTCCAGCTTTCATATTGTTGGGGCTATTCTCTTCATAACGTAGTCAGCCTTACTAAATCCAACATCAGTTGTAAAGACTAGACAAAGACAAGAAATATGGTAGGTTCCTATTATAACCCTTTCGTTTTCACTTCCTATTATATATGTTTTTGTTTATTAACCAAGACAAGAAATGGTGTATTGGAATACATAAGAAAATGAAATAGCATGTTTTTAGATAGATTTGCCGTATACACCGCTTCCACTGTACATTATTTAACTTAAAGATTTAGGGTTGGGATTTGGGGGAAAAAAGATAGAGAAGGTGTTTGGCTGGTTGGGTAGAGAAGCTGTGATAGGTTTTTATTTTTTATTTTTTGGGTTTATTCTTAACGGTTTAACGGGTTGTGTCGGATATTGTGAAGAGTTTGCGTCGACTACACCGACCTCAATAAGGCATTCCCTAATGACTGGCCAATGTTGTTATGGTAGCAAGAAAAGATAAGGGCTTAGGGCTTGTGAAGAGTTTGCGTCGACTACACCGACCTCAATAAGGCATTCCCTAATGACCACTTTCCGTTACCCAGAATTGATCATCTCGTAGATTCAACTTCTAGCAATCATTTGCTAAGCTTCATGGACCCTTACTTCGACTACAATCAAATCATGGTGCATGAGACGACAAAACAAGGACCTCTTTCATCATTGAAAGAGGTACATATTGCGGCAAAGTCATGCTCTTTAGGTTGAAGAACGCCGGAGCAACCTATCAAAGGCTATGGAGGTCTACATAAACGACATGCTAGTCAAAGCTCCCTGATGAGCAGACCACATCAAAAATCTTGTCGAAGCAATCAGCTTGCTCTAAAAGAATTACATGAAGTTGAATTCGAACAAGTGCACATTTGGAGTCTCATCTAGCCAATTTTTGGGATACCTAGTCACCCAAAGAGGCATCAGGGCATATTCAAAACAAATCAAGACAATATTCAACATGAAATCGCCTACCACAAAAGAAGATACAAAGTCTACTGACAAGTGTAGGCCATTCTTCAAAGCCTTGAAAAAATGACAAAAAGACAAATTGGACGACGAGTGCGAAGTTGCTTTTTAAAACTTAAAAACCTACCTCATTTCACCTTCCTTGCTCTCAAAACTAGTACCATGAAAAAATTTGCTTATTTACATGGCAGTGTCCAACTCAGCAGTCAACTCAACTCTCATCCAAGATAAGCTGGGGGCACAACATCTGGTATTCTACACGTCAAAAGCACTCCTCGATGAAAGAAAGTAAACACCCTACTACTAAGCTCACCAAATAATCACCATAACATAATTTTCTTTTTGATTGATCCTTCACAGCCCCGACGCTTCTCAGCGGCTCATGAAATGGGCTATTGAACTCAGTCAGTACAACCTCTTCTATCGGTCGAAGACTGCTATAAAAGCCCAAGTTTTAGCTGATTTTGTTATAGAGTTTACTCCAACAGCTGAAGAAGAGAAGCTGGTCATAAAAAACAAGGAAAATTCGAAAGTAGACGATACCTCATTCGCAGATCTAGACCTGCCCAAAGACATGTGGCAATTATGCGTAGACGAAGCATCAAATCATAATTGAGCTGGAGCAGGAGTTGTCGTAATCACCCCAAATGGAACTTTGTTGGAGCAGGCCATCACACTAGGCCTTCCAACTTCAAACAATGAAGTAGAATATGAGCCATTGCTCGCCGAATTGCGCCTAGCAAAAGAACTATTGATCAAGAAATTGGCCATCTACTCAAACTCCCAATTGATTACAAATCAAGCTTCAGGAGAGTACATGGCAAAACATCCGAGAATGGTTAAGTATCTCGACAATGTCCAAGAACTTTTGAAGGAATTCCCCACTTTCACCATCCAACAAATTCCTCGGGCAAAGAACACTCATGTAGATGCACTGGCAAGCCTAGGATTAGCGCTGGACACCCAGTTCAAATGCTCCATCCTGATCAAACACCACTACCAGCCAAGCATTGAAGAAATAGAGCAAGTGGACTCAATGCGAATTGATGAGGACCCTAGCGGGCAAGGCACCATCATTAACTACTTGGCAAATGGAAATCTGCCGATGAATAGGGTAAGGCAAAGCATGGTAAGGTATGGCAAGGTAAAGCCAAACCCCAAAAAATAGGGTAAGGCAAGGCAAAGAAAGTCAAGAACAAAGGCAAGGTCAATGGGTGTGACCACAGGGGAAACACACCAGCAAAGGCATGAGCAACAATACTAGCACCATAACAGGCAACAACAATAATACTGGTACCAACAAGAGCAATACAAAGCACTAGCACCAGCAAGAGCAACAAGGTAGAGACATAACAGGCATCATCAAACAATAATCAACACTATCCCCAGCAAGAGTCATAACAGCCAAGAGCAATAACATTGTCCCCAGCAAGAGACATAGGGGAAACACACCAGCAAAGGCATGAGCAACAATACTGGCACCATAAAAAGGCAGCGGCAATAATATTGGTACCAGCAAGAGCAATACAAGGGGAAAAAAAAAAAAAAAAAAAAAAAAAAAAAAAAAAAAAAAAAAAAAAAAAAAAAAAAAAAAAAAAAAAAAAAAAAAAAAAAAAAAAAAAAAAAAAAAAAAAAAAAAAAAAAAAAAAAAAAAAAAAAAAAAAAAAAAAAAAAAAAAAAAAAAAAAAAAAAAAAAAAAAAAAAAAAAAAAAAAAAAAAAAAAAAAAAAAAAAAAAAAAAAAAAAAAAAAAAAAAAAAAAAAAAAAAAAAAAAAAAAAAAAAAAAAAAAAAAAAAAAAAAAAAAAAAAAAAAAAAAAAAAAAAAAAAAAAAAAAAAAAAAAAAAAAAAAAAAAAAAAAAAAAAAAAAAAAAAAAAAAAAAAAAAAAAAAAAAAAAAAAAAAAAAAAAAAAAAAAAAAAAAAAATACACATTGTTGAAGATATTAATTACATATGGGGCTCGAAAAATGGGGGAAGTGTTGGTGAGAATGATGGTGACAGAGTTTGTTGGAAGAAGAAATCAAAATTCTTTGATCTCGAGTATTGGAAATACCTTCATGTGAGGCATGTCCTAGATGTTATGCATATTGAGAAGAATGTTTGCGATAGTATCATTGGTACATTGTTGGAGATCCCTGGAAAAAATAAAGATGGGATTGCTGCTCGGTTAGATTTATTGAACATGGGGGTCAAAACTGATTTGCAACCCGAGTATGGACAAAGACGTACTCGCTTGCCTCCAGGGCCTTGGAATTTGTCAAGAGCAGAGAAGAGAGCGGTTTGCAATTCTTTCTATGGTATGAAGGTCCTTGAAGGTTATTGTTCAAATATAAAAAATCTTGTATCTTTAAAAGATTCAAGACTTCTTGGACTTAAATCTCATGATTGTCATACCTTGATGCAACAATTGCTCCCTGTGGCAATTCGTTCTGTTTTGGAAGAAGCCTGCAAGGTATGCAATAACTCGATTGTGCTTCTTCTTCAATGCTATATGTCCAAAGACGGTGGATGTTTCCAAGCTAGATAAGTTGGAAGAAGATGTAGTAGTTACTTTGTGTTTGCTTGAGAAGTACTTTCCCCCTTCATTCTTTGATATCATGGTTCATCTAGTAGTACATCTTGTCAGAGAATTTCGTCTATGTGGCCCAGTATATTTTTGATGGATGTATCTGGTTGAAAGGTATATGAAAGTGCTAAAAGGGTATGTTCAGAACCGTACTCTTCCAGAATGTTGCATTGCTGCGCGGTATATAGCTGAAGAAGCTGTAGAGTTTTGCACCGAGCATTTATCTGAAGTTAATACAGTTGGAGTGCCTTCAAGCCAGAAGATGGGAGTTTCGAAGCCATTATCAGGTTGCACAGTACGCTTAGTTGATCGGGACTTGTTAAACCAGGAACATTTATATGTCTTGGAGAATACGGAGGAAGTCCTACCTTATATCGAGTACGTATGACTTTTATTTTTCATACGGAGCCATTTTAAACATTATTATTCCTTATGTTTATCTTATATACAAGGAATCATAATGCTTGATTTTTTGGTGTCAATGTAGGGAACATATGATCCACATCAAGACCACTTATCCAAAATTTAGAAAGAGAACAAAATGGCTGCAAGATAAGCACAATAACACTTTCATTCAATGGCTCCACCTTAAGGTATATATATGTTATTGAATGACATGCATCAACTTTTAATTTTCTTCCATTCTATATGTTAGATTGAATTAAGGTATATATGATTAATTTGCAGGTTCAAAGTGAACTTAATGGGGAAGAGCATAATGGCGTATCAGAAAATTTGAGGTGGCTAGCAGCTGGTCCAAGCATGGCAATGCCATCATATAGGAGCTATCTTATTAATTGTGTTAAATTTAACACTAAGGCACAAGATGATGTGCGAACTGTTCAACATAGTGGAGTTTATTTACTTGCACATACTATGCAAGTTGCTAGTGCCAAGGATAAAAACCCTATTGTCTCTAATATGGGTTTTTATGGTGTTATTCAAGAAATTTGGGACCTTGACTACCAAAAGTTTAGAATCTCAGTCTTGAGGTGTGATTGGATAGATAACACTTCGGGCCTTGTAGTTGACGAACTTGGATTTACCCTTGTAGATCTGAGTAAAATTGGACATAGGAATGACCAATTTGTTATGGCTTCTCAAGTCAAACAAGTATTTTATGTTGACGACCCAATGCATCGTGGTTGGTCGGTAGTGTTATCAATGCCTAATAGAGAATATAATGATGTTATTGGTGATGATGTGCTAGGTGATACTAGAATTGAGTGTGAGCCATTTCCTAGAGGGATACCAAATGTTGACTCATTTGATGACCTAGTGGGTGAGTTTGGGAATGAAAATATTAGAGATGGGTGTGAAGATATATGGATTGATTGATTGTTGTAATGTATGACCTTAGTTATTCAGTTAATTGTATTACATTAATTAATAATTATGTGCAACATTTTAATTCTTATCACATTTTCATTATGTAGGCTTTAGGCAAGACAAATCAAAAATTAAAAAAGCTGGGTTAAAGCTGTAAAGTACGACGGTCAGGGATAAAAATTGGAAACACAGACGTCCAGGATAAAAACAACGTCGGGTTTCAAAAGGCAATAGACCGTAAAACAAAAAAACAGACATCTAAAAAAAAATCAAGACGGTTTGCTTAAAATAAACCGTCCTCTAAACCTCAAAATAAAGGCCTTTCAGTTCCATTAACTGTCGTGACAGATGTTCTGCACGTTTGCTAGTCTATAACAACTGACATCTCCGCGCATACATAAGTCACGGCAGGTCAAACAAGCGACTTTTAAAAGGACAACCATGTCATTATGTAATAAGAATCGACGTGGTAAGTAATTACAACGTCAAGCCGGTGGATCTCTAGACGTAGTGAAGTAATTAACCACGTCCTTTATTTTAAAGAAACATACGTTGAATCTATAATCCATATCGGTTATGTTTCTATCCACGCCTTAAATATTATTTATAACGTCAGCCCTTGACATAAACCGACGTGGGGGAGAGTTTTGTACGTCAATATTGAGTAATATTCTGTCATCTTAAATATTTTAGACGTCGGTTATTTAGAAAAAGTGGCATCTACCTATGTTAAAGGGCCTTCTTTATTCTATTTAAACGACGAATCTAAAAAAAAATTAGACGTGTGAACGAGTTAACACGACGGTTTGTATTATAGTTCGCGACGTGGATAAGTACATAAGCGTCGGTGATGCCTGGTACAGGACATAGTTATTTTATTTTACGGTGGTTATTGAAAGACAAATGAACATGTAACACTCTTTAAATGTTTGTGTGTAGTTTGTGTGGTGTTACGTCATTGTTTATGGTTTTTTGTTTTTTTTTTTTTTTTTTTTTTTTTTTTTTTTGTTAACCACGACAGTTTCTAGCTTATCCAAGTCTTTTCCCCTTCATTTAGAGACGTGGATAATTATCTATATGTCTGTTCTTCTTTGGATCATGACATGTAACAATCTTTAGACGTCTCCTTTTTCATAAAACCGTTGTGTAATGTTGTCGGAGATTTCATTTTAGGCTAATTATATAGTAATTACACGTCGGTTATTAATAAATATGGACGTTGAATTCCTTAACAACGTCGGTTATTAACCGTCGTAGTTGATTTTACAAAAGATGGCGGTCGATTTCATGACGGTTGGAAAACCTTCTTCACGACGGTGGTTTCCCGTCGTCTATTTCGATTTTTGTAGTAGTGGAAGTCGTTAAATATGTCATTTTTTACCCTTTACCGTCGTGTTATTATATTTGAAATGTCACTTCTATGAACAACTCCGTCGTGAATACGACGCTGATAACACTGATATTGTCATGTGTATGTTTGTTAGATGACGACAAGTATCAGCTTACCGACGTTCAGAAGAACTTTCAAGATAGATATTTAAACTAAAATGCCTTCTTTATGATAGAAGACGATAAATATATATATGGAAGGTCGCAATGAAGTCATTAAATACGTCGTTTTATACACTTTACCATCGTATGTTAATATTTCAAATGTCGCTTCTATGAACAACTCCATCATGAATATACAATAGTAATGGCTACACATGACTGTCGTTGTTTGATTATTATGTACGATGCTTTCAACTAAATGACAGTCATGTGTGTTAACCTTCAGACATCGGTACCTACAATACGGTCATGGTTCGATAATAAAAACAACATTATTTTTCATTCAGCGTCGCCTAATTGGACTTCAATTTTATTTAACCGACGTGTTTCTTATGTCCAATGGCGGTTTTTATTTAGGTACAATTGTTTACCATCATCCATTTTGCATCGTTTGTTAAAAAATGATTTTGGGTATCATTTAGACGTTTGTTTTTGTAATTTATTAATTGGACAGTCGTATTTTACATCTTCAACCCAGTATTTTTAATACTGAAAGTGTTGTGCCCAAAACTTGCATAATGAAGATAAAAATAAAAAAAAAGGTCATACATTATAATTTGTTACAAAACAAGTACCTCTCTTACACTTTCCTTGAGTCGATCGGCAAACCTTATTATTTGTTGTCTAGGTATTGAAGTATTGACCAAGGGAAACCCAACTCCTACACCTCTAACTCTTCCTCCATGCTTGGGTGTTCCCAAAGCGATAGTCAATACATCATTAGTTCTCGAGACTATAAAAGTGCCTTCAGAGACTTGTTTTTGCAATTCATCCTAAAAGAGAAAGAGAGTGTGAGTGAGTGAAGATAGCTTGTAAAACAAGTAAAATAAAAATGATTCTAACTCAAGCATCTAATAATTTGATTATAAATAAATAAATCTTGCTTGTGAGTGAGTGAATTTAGGCTCACAATTAATCTTGCTTTCTCTGTAGCCTTTGGATAACGGATGTTACCATGTTCGTCTTCTCTAGCTTTCCTCCATAACAGAGATTGATCTATTTCTTTCTTGGGCGTGCTTTCTTCCAATTGGTCCTCCAAACCAACATACCCTTTTCGAGACAATCAATGATTGTACTCACATTTCTCCCTCCTCTGTGATTTTCAGTTATGCATAACTCCATATTCTTCATATTACCTTGAAGCTAGAAAGGCATCCCAATCCGGTTTCTCTATGAATGGATATAGTTGAGTGGGTTCTTTGTTGCAAATGATAAGACCATTTCTTTGAATGGAAGAATATACTACCTCGTTAATGTAGACTTGAAATCCTTCCATTTATTTGCTCTAGATGATAAGACCATCTTCTTGCCCCTTGCCCTACAACATATGTCATCTAAACAGCTTCGCAAATCTGCTCCTTTACATCCTTGGGCAATTCAATCCATTGCTGCAGATCATAGGATTGCATCTTAATAGCTGTCGGGCCATGTGGTCTCTTCTTTTATTGTACTGAATAACAGGTTTTAGTTTTTGGATTTTTCTCTTCACAACACGACACATTGTGTTTATACCACGACTTGACTTTGCCTCCTTATCAAATGTAGTTGTGCTATTGGGTTCTTTCTCAGCATATGAAACAAATCTCATCTTCTTTGATGACTTGGTTTGAGCCGATTTGTCTTCCCTAATTTGAGATTTTGAAACTTGAGGCTCCTTACTTTGATTTTTCTTTTTTCAAACTAGCCTCCTTACTTTGAGCTTTAAAAACTATGGTTATAGATAAATATAACTTGCAAGTGAAAATATTTTAGATTTTCAAAGAATAAAAACAACGGTTATTTGAAAGCACTGACATAGTATTACATTTCACATGTCTCTAGATAAGAACTACCGCTGTATTAAGAGTTTTATCATGGTGGTAGATAATTACCGTCGTGGTGTGATAATTCAAACGATGTAAATAAGAAACCATCATCGTCTTATTAAGAATAAAATACAGAAAAAATAAATACATTACCACTGCTACTAAAAAGCTTCCTATAACAAAGATTACACAGATAAACGCAAACACAGAGAGAGAGAGAGAGAGAGAGTGAGAGACACTATCGTACTAATATTATTCAAAACAATGGATTTTTACGATGAAAAATTTTGAAAAACAGAGTTGTGTTTCTAAGACACTTTCATTCTTGGTTTTTATATTTAAAACTTAGAATTTATTTTTAAAAATAAAAAAAAAAAAAAAAAAAAAAAAAAAAAAAGAAAGAAAGAGAGTGAGAAATGGTAACCTGTTGTGTGTAATGAAAGCTTGCTATTGGCATTGGGAGATTATGAGACGAAGATGAGGAGGAGAGGAGGAGAGGAAGACAATGAGATTCAAAGACGTTCCTTTAGGAGGGAAATTTGAGAGGAGAGTGAAAATATTTTTTTAGGTTGGGAAAACGTAAAATTTTAGGCTAGGTCAGGCAAAAGTTAATATAGAAACCCAACGTTTCATAAGATGACGCGTTTTATAAAAATTGCCCTAGTATTGAAGGACTCGACCTGAATTCCCCCTTGAAACTCGTGTTGAATCCTGTTCCATATTCCGGCACCCAAACGATGCCGGACCCATTACTAACTTTACGCATCTCACCCGTACTTTAAGAAAAATGGGTTGAGACTTCTACCGAAATTTCAGCAGAGTGTCCCTTGTAAAATGAACTTTTCCCAAATTAACCCCTGCAAACAATGACAATCTAATAATCTCACTGGCTGCACACACAAGATAAGGCACACACAAATTTCACATGGCCTCTGGCCTCAAATTCAATCCTAAGTGGGAAATATCAGAGCAAACTACTACAGTTAAATTTACAAAATTAGTTTCCAAATAAACAACGAAAATGGAAAATGAAGTTTCCTACTAGGTAGAACTATAAAGACATCACCGATGCCGGAGTAGCTTACGTGGTCGTCCGAATTCTGAACTATGTACTTCCTGGGAGCTATGTACTTCTCGAAAGTAATTATACAGAACATATTAACCCCTCTGTTTTTGCAAACCTTTGAAAACTCACTAAAACACATGCAAATATACGTATAGGAACAAAATATGATAAATACATATGTAGGTAAAACAAACTTAGAATCAACTGGTAAGTAAAATACCATTAAACCAATCTTGTATTTCAAATAACATTTAAATTGAATACATCGAGTAAACTCAAAATATGATTCATCATAAATCATGTTTCAAACCATCCTATGAATATATAATAAAACAAGTAAGCTCAAATACAATTCAACCAAATTCCAAGCTCAATCCAATTCATACAAAAACTCTCCACCCAAGTATACCTATGGGGAAAACTGGCCAACCCTGTGTAGTATATCGACAGGGTGGCAGGGGAACATCTTGGGGAAAATCACTGGCCAGACACTCGTATTTGTGATACGAGTACAAGCAATACACTGAGGCAACCAGGGAATGGGTAAACTGGTCAACCACCTGTGTAGACAATCAGGCAGGTGGTGG